AGGCACTGAGAAATAGATCTGTCCCATTCACTACTGTATTTCCAGTATCTAACTCAGCATCTGGCTACAAATGCAAATGAATTAAAAGACTGAATGAATAAATAAAATTTTTATATTAATACTCAGGCTTTTGGAAGGGCAAAAATGCAAAGCTTATCTACTTCCCCAGTAAAACCTGGTTACATGCTAGTTCTGTTCAGTTCAGCAAGTATTTACTGCTTAGCCACATAGGAATAAAAAAGAATATAAGCCAGGGTACAATCTTCGAGGAACATACAGTTTTACAAATCAGACACATAAACACATGAAAGCTAAACAGTGCAACACCCTGTGGTCTTACATTCTAAGGTATGCTGCACAGAAGAAAGGAGCTCAGACAAAGGGTTAGGCAAGTGTTCTTGTAGTAGGATTTGAGCTGAGCCTGAGAACAAGTAAGTCTGCAGACTTGTAGACAGAAAATAAGAGACAAAAATGTGCTAGGCCTGCACTTTTGAAAGTGCGTCTGAAAACACCTCCCTTTCAAGGTCCTTAAGGTCAGAAGTACTTTATAAGTCTAATGTTGTTTCCTTTTTTCACTTTCATTCATTCTCAGTTACACAACGCAGGCTTCCAGAGGCTACATGCCAGGTGATACCACAACAGATTGGGTGCATAAGCAGGTATGAGAATCCAGCTCTTTTCTATTAAGCCACACATTAAAGAGATTTGTAAAACAATGCCACTTATTATGTTTGTGTTATTTTTTAAAAATAGTCCTTTCTTTAAAATGTTGAGTTACCATATCATGAAATTACTGCTATTTTTCAGTAAATTAATAATTTAATTTTATTGGTTTTAAATTGTTATGATAAGTATTGATACACAACCTACATAATCAAAGCTCTTCAAGTCCTCAATAAATTTTTAAGAGTCTAATGGACTATTAAGCCAAAAGCTGAGGTTCCCTGAGCTAGTTGTTTTTAAGAGACGGATGGGGCACCAGCCTGGACTCTCTGTGCAGAGAAGCGGACGCAGCTATACTGGACATTAGTTCGGGCACTGTGTCACTTAAAACGTGTCTAAGGTAGAGGTGCAGGCTTTCCTCTCAGTAGAGTTATCTTTACTTAGTGCAAAATATAAAAAAAATCTTTTCAAATCATTCTTGTTCTTCTACCTAAATACAATACAGTTTCATATTTTCTGAATTACCAAATACAGCTACATACTTATATCAAGCATTCTTACAAACCTCAATAGCAACTTCTACATTTGATTTTTCAAGTATTTGATGATAAAAAATATACTAAAGCCTCATAAAAGAAAGAATATGGCAAATTATTATCCCCCAAAACTTACTTCTAGAATGCCAAGGGATCTTATACTTCTAGAATGCCAAGGGATCTTATTTTAAATCAAACTTGCCTGACAAATCCTGTAGCTTGGAAAACAAAGATGCCCACATTCTGCCCTAGAACTTCTGGAAACCTTGAATTCAGACCTACGTCTCTCTCTCTAGATTTGAAAGCTCTATACATTCTCAAATTCCCTCAAGAACCTATTTCCAACCATTTCAGGTGCTACCCATAGCTCCCTAAACACAATTAAAGCTTACATAAAGCTTACACAGGTCCTTTCCACCACCTGAAATGATTTCCTCTCTAATCTCCACTTATCCCAAATTCATCCTTTAGGGGTCAGCCTGAAAGCCAACTCATCCTGGATTCCTTCTGAATTCCTTTCAACTGATCATTATATCCCTCTTTGACTATCTAAAGGACTTTGTTTAAACATCTCTCAAAATACAAATTCTATTTACATTATCATTACTTTTTTATCTCACAGTTTCTCTTAGATCTTAAACTTCTTTGGGGCAGGAACTGTTTTATCAATCTCTATTTCAGAAGCCAGTGGAAAGAGGGTAAAAGTGCTGACAACAATGAGGCTCAGACAAACTGTAATCTGCCCCAGGTCACATAGCTAGTGACTGACAGAAAGAGTTGAATTTTAACACCAGAATGCCAGACTCAAAGCCCTTGTTCTTTCGACAATATTATCTCATTCTCCCTACCTTACATTCCTTATGACAATAAATACTGAAGAAATCTGTGAAATTAAACAAAATCCGACTGGCTTTCTTAATCTCAAGGCAACTCTGAGGTGAAAAATATAGAGAAAATAATTTCTACAACTGCACTTTTGCCACCATTGGCATCATATCCCTGCCTATCTTATTGTGGACAACATATTTAATGTGCAGTTTTCAGGAGACAGCATCGAGACCAACACCTCTATTCCTGAAGTAATAAGTATCTATCCCCACCATATTTTTCCTGATTCCTGATTTGAATACTATTAGAGCTATAACTAGTATAACAGAGTAAGATTTCAATAAACGTTTGTTGAATGAATAAGCGTGATAAAATTAATAATTTCTTCTACTGTCCAGGAACCTGAGTTTACTTCCTCTAGTTCCTCCTCCAATTTCTTCGCCATTACTGTCTCAAAGCCATAGCTAACAAATACAACATATATTGGACTACAGAAACTATGGCTGACAACTATATTTTGATACAGTTTTTTTGGTTTCTGATGTCAAGTACTAAGCAGTTCAATTCTGCTCCAAAGGCATTTTAAAATTATCATGTCCATTCACTCCCTTCACCTAGTTAATTGGAATCCTGAGGTTTGCACTTCATTCCTCCCACTCTCCCTCATCACATTTTACTCCACCCACCTTCCCCCAGTGTCTCCCTTGGCCTACCACCTCCTTTAACCTCCTTAGTGACTGCCCCACCTTCACTCTTAACCCCCACCAGTCTCTTCTCCATCTAGCGATCAGAGTAATCTTATAAATTTTATAAAAAGATGAAATAACTGCCCTGACCAGTGTGGTTCAGTTGGTTGGCTGTCACCCTGCCAAGTGAAAGATCGCTGGCTCGATTACAGGTCAGGGCACATGCCTAAGTTGCGAGTTCAGTCCCCAGTAGGGGTGCATATGAGAAGCAACCAATCGATGTTTCTCTCCCTCTCTTTCTCCCTCTCTTCCCTAAAATATATATATAATAAAATATTATATATAATAAATATATATTTATTAAAATTTCTTTTTTAGATTTTATTTGTTTATTTTTAGAGAGAAAAGAAGGGAGGGAGAGGGACATCGATCAGCTGTCTCTCACACGTCCCCAATTGGGGACCTGGCCCACAGCCCAGGCATATGCCCTGACTGGGAATCGAACTGGCAACCTTTTGGTTTGCAGACCAGCACTCAACCCACTGAACCAAACCAGCCAGGGCTAAAACAATATTTTTTTAAAAAAAGATGAAATAACTGTCACTCCCTTGGTTAAAATACTATAATAGCTTTCATTACACTTCTAATAAAATACAAATTCTTTACCAAGGAATTCCTTGCAGTATCCTTCATGATCTGCCTACCCACCTCTTAATTTCACCTCATCCTACTTTGTCCCAGCAAACCACACTCCAGCCATATTGGTCTTTCTTGATCACTGTGACCAATATGTTATCAATTATCTCTGCAATCTGTTCCTTTCCTTTTTAGCACTTATCAAAAGTTACATATTTGCTTATTTTTGTCTGTCCCCCCCACTATACTCTAAACCCCAAAAGGGCAGATAAAATGTCTTTGTTTTACCACTACATATCAAATAAAATATAAAACCTAGCATGTGGTAGGCACTTAATATTTTTGAATGAAAAAATTTCTTCCCTATTACTCTTAATTTGTATTAACATGTATTATATATTGCTTACACATCAGATAGATAACAAAGTATCTAATTAATATATAATACATTACTACTTTATAATAAAGAACTTGGCTGCCCTTTATCCCACATTCCTGAGAAGTATTCACTAAATCCTTGGATATTCAGAGTAGCTGAAGTATCCTTTCAATTCATGTTGGGTCCCTGGGTCCACACTTGATAGTTTATGTTAACAAAGTTAACAAAGTGTCTTTTATATTCATTGTGGGTGCCTAGACAGTTTATGCTAATGAAATGACTCGGGATGGGAGCCAGGCATGCCATAAAGACCAACCGTGTGATTAGAGGGCTGGGGTACTGGAGACGGAATTAAATCATGCGGCAATGCTTATGCAATGAAACCCCAATAAAAACGCAGGACATCAAAGATCCAGTGAGCTTCCCTGGTTAATAACACTGTGTACATTGTTACATATCAGCATGCTAGGAAGGTGATACATCTTGACCCCACAAGAAGAAGATACAGAAGCTGCATTTTTGGGACCTTCCCAGACTGTGTGTCTGTCTGTCTGTCTGTCTCTCTCTCTTTAGCTAGTCTTGATGTGTATCCCCCCCCCCTCTCTCTCTCTCTATCTCTTTTGCTATAATAAAACTATAATTATAGGTTAGCACTTTCCTGAGTTCTCCGCATCATTGTAGCAAATTATTGAACCGAAAAGGGTAGTAGAAACCCCTGAGTTTGTAGCCAGTTGTTCAGAAATGTGGGTGGCCTGGGAACCCCTGAGCCTGAGGATGGTGTGTGAAGTGAGGGCATCTGGTGGGGGCACTGAACCCTCACTCTGTCAGGTTAGCCTAATTCCAAGTAGTGTCAGAACTGCACTACCATTACATAACAAATAACAGATATCATTTCATAAATATGTGTCAGGCATTCTAAATCTTCAGAAAACATCTCAGCCTTACAACAACTGGATATGAAAGAATTGTTATCCTAATTTTTTAATAAGGAAACTAAGGAGTAAAAGCCATATAGACAATAAGTAACTCAGGTGTAGCCTAAATCCAAACTCAGCACTATCTGACTCAAAACCCATGATGTAGCCACCACCCTCACCAGCTTCTCATTACTGGTTATGTAAATACAACACAGGATAGCTGCCATAGAATATAGAGCACGTGTACTGAGAGGTGACCTTAAAATATAAGGCATTCTTTATGAATTTATGAACTCTTTATACAAAAAAAATACTACAGTTGAATATAAATTTCCTTAGAAATTGCTTAACTTACTTGTTTGCGTTTTAGAAACATGTTTCTGGAGAAAATCAACTATCTGAACCAAAACTTTCTTATTACAATGCGTTGATAATTTTTCATCACACTCGTAACACCTGAAAACAAAATTTAAGCAAATATTATGAAAGTATTTTCAATAATTTTGTACATCAGGTAATAAAGTTGTTGCTTATCTACTTTGGTCTTTAAATTGTGGTGAGGAACCAGGAAAGTCTAGAGAAATAAGCAGTGGACAGTTCATATAAAGCCTCAGTATTCAAATTAAAGCTTTGTAGTTCACCCTAAGTGTAATGGAATGCCCTAAGGGATTTTCAAGCAGGATTCAAGTATGATCCCATTTAAATTCAAAACTATCACTGATTAATGTCAAATTGGAGGGCATCAGGAATACTAGCAGATGAGGATAGAAAGAGTGGATCTGGAGAAAAATGAACACATTTATCTTAGATATTTGCCGTTATCAAAGGAATGAATGAGATTTAAAAGATAAGGGATAAGGGAGAGCAAAGTGTCAAAGTAACTGCCACAAGAAGGGAGAAGTGGGTGAGGGTATGTCAGTGATTCTCAAACAGGAACAATTTTGTCTCCCACGGGACATCTGGCAATGTTTTGAGACTATTTCGGTTGTCACACTAGGGAAGCAGCTGCTGGCATCCAGTGGGCAGGGAGGCCAAGGATGCTGCTAGACATCCTGTAATGTATAGGGCAGTCCGCTCACAAAAAGATTTATCAGCCCAAATGACAATAGTACTGAGATTGAGAAGTCCTGGTTTAAAGGAAATGAGACTAGCTGTGGGTTGTAATGTTTAAAGCTGGGTGATAGGTATGGAGAAAATCACTATCTATTTGTCTACTATTGTTAAAAGGTTAAAAAATAAAATAAAATAAATGGGAAGAAAATAAGTGCCAGCCTCTGGCTTCAATACTTAAGTGATGGAGGATCCACTTATCAAGGTGGGGAGCACTGGATGAGATTAGTGTTTTATTTTGTTTGGGACTTATTTGGGAAGAAGAGGTTAGAGAACAATTTCTAAAAACACACACCTTTTCCGAAAACAACCCTCCACTAAGTTTACTCATTAGTGCGTATAATATTGATAAAGATTTCTTCTATATATTATCATTATCTGTTTCCTTTATCTTCATGAGGCCCAATGATCAAATAAAAACACGCATTTGAAAGCAATGAAAGTTTTATAAATGTATTATACCAACACTAACTTACATATTCACAGTCTTCTTATGTATAACTCTTAGTGGTCCTAGAATCAATGGCTGTGAACTAAGTCAAATGTTTACTAAGTCAAATATTGTAAACTAGCCAATCATTTACTAAGTGTCTACTCTATCACTTGCACACAGAAATAGATACATAGATAAATCTGTGAAGGAAATGAGTCACAGAAAACATTCCCAAAATACCTTTTCCATAGGCTATGATGGAATTAAAAAAATTTAAATTACAGTTACCAGGTTTATATTATAATACATGCTTAATATATATAGGTGTAATTATTGCCAAAAATACTAAAAATATAATTGCTCCTTTTCAAAGTATTGAATTATTAAGAAATTTTTACTGCAATTACAATTTAATATTTATTTGTTATAAAATATATTGTAACATTAAGAGTACAGAAATAAAATATAAATAAAAACTGTACAATGACAGTGGATTTGGCAAAAAAAAGGACAGCTCAAAATAAGTTAATTCTATTTGTTTCCATTAGAAATAACAAAAAAATTAATCAAGCATACACTACAAGCCAGGCACTGTTCTTAGTGATTTATATGTATTTTCTGGTTTAATTCCTCGCAACAATAAAAAAAAATTATCATTTTCAAAATAAATAGCTTTATAGAAGTATAATATTTTCTTTTTACAGATGAGGAACATTTTAAAGCATTTATTCATATGAGATCTGTCCAGAAGGTATCCAGCCATGTACTATGAAAAACAGACATTTACTGAAGAAGATACAAGATACAAGAAACATTGTTCACAGAACAATGACATCTCAGTCCCCTTAAAACAGGCACCTAGGGATCTCACATAGTTCTCCCAATTGCCATCAGCTGCCTCATTGTATTTTCCTGAATCTCATAGATAGTCTGAAATCTCTTCCCTTTCAAAGGTGATTTTAGTTTTGGGGAAAGCAAGAAGTTACAGGGCTGTAACTTCCAAATCTGGGCTGTAGTGAGGCTCAGTAACCTGGGTGAGTTGATGTTTTGCCAAAAAAAAACCTCTGCATGTGATGTGATACATGAACAGGAGCATGGCTGTGATGAAGCTGCCAATCACCAGTTACCCACAGCTGTGGCCTTTTGAATCATCTGAATAGTTTTTATGGAGGAACGTTTAAGCTTAATGGAAAATTTGATGCAGATTTGTTGCTCTCCTCAGTCATTTTGAATGCCACGGCCACACAGTACACATGCTCACTCAACATCACCACCCCACTGACTAGTACAGTGAAGTCATCATTGTTCACACATGTGCATCCCAGTCCACTTCCCTTGGCTGCCAGGTCACATGGATGTCACAGAACCGTTCTCATTATATTAGTAATGGCTGGGCTTTTTCCAGACAAACCTTGTATGTTAACTTGAAGTGTTAATCAGTGACCCTTAACCTTGGTTAGACATGAGAATCACCAATGGAACTTAAAAATACAGAAGCCCCAACTTAATAGAGGACCACTGGCACCTATTGGGTTTTAAAATTCCACCTGTGTGATTCTAACTGAAGTTAGAGGTAAGAAACAACTGTGCTAATAATAATTAATATCTGTGAAAGCAGTATCAAATCCACAGTTAGCAATATTTTGTTAGATGTAATAATCAAATCTGTAACATTCCTTTCTTTTCTCAGGTTTTTTCTTAGTTCAGGCTGGCCCTCTCTTTCATCCAAATTAGTGAAGTTTTCTATTGAAATTGTTAAACTTTGTAACATTTAAGAATTAGATGAGGGAAATTTAAAAACTTTAAAACTTTTTTAAAGAGAAAAAAATAAAAGGGAAAAGAAAATAGCCATGATCTTTAAATTCTATATCAATGCAAGTAACAAACTTGAATTTCTTCTTCTAAAAGAGAATTCCCTTGAAATACCCCCAAATGTGATTTAAATTATTTTCATTATAATATAATTCTAACACATCACTCACAAAACTCAATAAAATCATCACTCTTCTTTTGAAAGCAAAATTATATAATTAAATATAAAAACAAAATTACAAAATCAATTAGATTATAACTAGCAATGCTTTTTTGCTAAAATTAAGTCATGAAATTATCAGACCATAATTATGATCCTAGAGCTACAACATAAATTCTGATACAGATTGACTCGAGATGGGACTATTCTATCAGCTACCACTCAGTTCTCCCACCACTTTTTCCTATTTCAGTGGTCCTTAAACTGTGGTCCCCAGACCAGCAAGACTGGCAACACTTGGAGACCATAGAGAGGCAATTTCTCAGGCCCTACCCTAAAACTACCAAATCAGAATCTATAGGCCTGGGACCCAGTAATGTATTTTAATGAGCCCTTCCAGTGATTTTGAGGCACCCCACAGTTTGAGGCTGTTGCTTCTTTTAAGACTACAGAGGAATGTTTATTGATCTGCCACACGAGGCATCATCCCTCACTGCGCTGGCTCCAGTGCATACTAACTTCCCTTTGTTCTTGCTTCCTTCTCCCCAATACTATTATTGGGACCAACAACAACAAAAACACAAATGCAGCAACCATCCAACCCTGTGGCTGAGTTAAATTATAAGATGGTATCTGTCCTACAGGCCAAAATATCCCGATTTTAGAAACCTGAAATAAAAACACAAAGTTAAAATATTTTTGTCTTAAACAAAACTTGACTCCTGAAAATTCACTTAAGGAACTCTAGGTGTCTATAAATTCCAATAGAAAACTTTTGTTGTAAAATACACTGAAAACTTTTCAACAGTGTCCACCTAACCACTGAAGCAATGTGGTGTGCTGAGAAGAGACAGGGAATCAAAAGACTTGTGTTAGTGCCTGGATTTTTGTTTTGTAACCACAAAAGGGTAAATGGTATCCAGTATCCTCATACATAAAGTGAGGGAACTGGACTTGATTCCCAACTGAAGTTACATAGTATTAACAGAATCGCCTAAGAAGTTCCCTTTTCCTTGAAGAAAATCACCACACCACTTGACTGATTCAAGTACCTTCCTCCTATAGAATGTCGGGTCCTATATTAGAAGTTCATTACAAAAAAACTGGAAGGCATGTTTCCTGACTGTACAAAGAAAATGTTAAAGAAAAGTAGAGGGATGGCTAACTTTTTTCTTATTTAAAATTTGTACTCATGTTTTCCATAGGTTGTATTCAGGCTAAAAAACATAAGCTGGTATAATATCTTTAATTATTTTACCTGTGGAACTAAACAAAAGGATATTTTTATAGTGGGCATAAGTACAAAATCAAACTTACCATATAATCCACGTGCTCAGACTAATTATGATACAATGAAGCTCTGTTCTCCAACTCTTGAAGTGCTTCAGTGAATGCTGGCTTTCTGAGTTCTTAGCACATCCCTAAAGATGAACAGAATATGATTTGTATGATTTACAAATACATTTGCTTCAAATTAATCAAAATTTAATATATACTCAAACTTAAAAAAAAAAACCTTACAAATAGAAATAGGTCAAGACAGGTCTAGATATGAGAACCATTGCTAGTAGGTTAGATTTCCTTTCAAGTTTTTATAAACCACACTTTCTGAACAAAACATACCCTTTACTTTACTTTAAACACTTCTAAGCTCAGCCTTAGAGAGCTCTACCAAAACATAGAATAAATTTACCTTAAGTTCTAAACATTACTAACAATCAAACTAAAAATAAACATTAAGGAAAATATTTAAGGCAAACACACATAAAAAAACATTTTTCTCACCTGAAAACCACACTTGAGGCACAACCAAATATCAGAAGGAAGTACGGGCTGTCCATCATAGAATCTTCTTTCTTTCAAACATTCTGAGCAAACTGACCACACATTCTCTGCTATTGCTTTTTTCACATGATTCACATTGACAGCATGACTTACATGTTGGCACGTGAAACCTACTGAATGAGACAAAACAAAACTTGAGCATTTTCTTTGCTAAGCCAAAATGCTACCATCAATAAGCAAAGTCGCTGACATTGAAATGCTGTAAATGAAAAGCACTGAGATTTGAAAAACAAAATAACTCAAAAAGGGTACATATGACATGATTCCATTTATAGAACATTTGTGAAATAACATAATTACAGAGTTGGAGAACAGATTGGTGATTGCCAAAGGCTGAAGACAGGGAGAAAGAGTTGTGGCAATAGACAGACATAAACTCCAGGGGGTGTTTCAGCAGTCAAGTAGTTTCATTGTGATGGTTATAGAAAGCAACACATGCAATAAAACTGCATAAAGCTACGGATGCATGTGTGCGCACACACGAATGCATGTGTATCTGGTGAAATCCGAATAAGCTGTAAGGATGGGCCCAATGTCAGGTTTCTGGTTCCGATACTGTACTATAGAAATACAATACTTTAAACCAGGAAAGGTTAGGTGAAGGGTAAATGGGATCCCCTTGTATATTTCTTTGTATCTTCCTGTGACTCTAAAATTAGTTCAAAAATAAAAGTTTAATACATAAATAAAATAAAGGAAATTATTTATTGAGCAGCTACAATGTGTCTAGCATTTTAAATATATTTTGTTTCTATTAAGATGCACAGACAGCCCTGCCCAGATAGCTCAGTTGGTTGGAGTGTGGTGCCATACACCAAAACGTTACAGGTTCGATCCCTAGTCAGGGCACATGCCTAGGTTGCAGGTTCTCTCCCCAGTCACGGGGTGCATATGGGAGGCAATCAATCGATGTTTCCTTCTCACATCGATATCTCCCTCTTTTTCTCTCTCTCAAACAATAAACATATCCTTGGATGAGGATTTAAAATAATAATAAAAACTTACTGGCCCAAGAAATACAACCTTACATCAAAGAATGAGTAATCAAAGAAAAATCAGATGCAAATTCTATGGTAAGAGAATATAAAAGAAGAAAGGAAATGGAAAATCATGGCAGAGCAATCACTGCCATGAAATAAAAACAAAAGACAGAAGCAAACACTCTAGCATGAGGTGGCAAAACACTAGGAGATGACTGGCAGAGTTCAGGAAAGAGGAGGACGACAAATAATAAAACTACAAAAATGAAGGCAAAACTAAAGCCTATAAAGTGACACAGACACTGCTGAAAACACAACAAAGGATAAAAATAAAAACAGCAAGCAAAATGAAAAGGAAATAGGAGTTTTAGAGGACTTTAGGAAAAATGTTAATTATGGAAGACAGGTGGGGAGTTAACATGATAATCAGAATCCCTGAAGAAAATCTTATTAACAGAATAGAATATTTAAAGAGAAAATTTAGACTTCCTTCAATACAGCAATCTAGTGATCCTGAAACACTATCTAGGTTAAAACCATGTAAAAACTGAAGTATATTAAAAACATCTTTTTAAATGAAAAGATGAACAAACTGGTAAGAAAGCAAAAAATATCCTTGACGTCCATGAGAAACAGGACAACAAAAATAAGCAAATTCTAAATACAATCTCAATAAAAACACTAACAGCATTTTTTTGGAGAACTAGACAGCTGATTTTTAAAGTTCACACAGAAAATGATAAAAATAAAGAGAAAAGAATTTATTAATTACAAGCATATTGTTTAACCACTATGCTGTATACCTGAAACTAATACAAAATACTGAATGTAAACTGTAATTAAAAAATAAATTAAAAAACATATTGTTATTTTTTTTATGCAGCACTCTTTAGGATGCTAGATATCACAGTTTACCAGCAATGTCATCGGAAGAGTCTTCATCGTGAGGTACAAGAGGCCTTTTACTTCTTTTGGCTTTCTCAGCTGCAACTTTGGATGGCTCTTTCACCCGCATCTGTTACTTACTGAAAAGGTGGGGGGGGGGTAAGGAAGACAGTTGAATCCTCAAAATTAAAATTTTATGTATTTAACTTAATGGATATTAAATTGATATTACTTCCGTTGTAATTGGTCTACTAAATCAACAGAGGAAGAACAGGGGAGAGTCAGCTAGAACCAAAAAATTTTTTATTAAGCCAACATACAAATGGCACTTTACACTTGACTTTTACCAACTAGTCCCTAGATATATGCTGTCTGGGCGAATGAAAAACTACAAAGTTCTGATCAATGGAACAAGTGCCACTGCTGGGTCATGTGTTCCCCTTGCCCTTCCCTTTCTCCTGCCCCACTAGCTAGAAGAGAGTAAGAGCTGGTAAAGCCACACGCCAAGCATAGCAGAGCCACTCCATCTTTGTTGTATGATCTAGAGCTAGACTTCTGAGAAATAAATTTCTATCTTTTAAAACTATTGTATTTTCCCACTTTTTTATTATGAAAAACTTTTTTAAGATTTATTTATTTTTAGAGAAGGAAGAGAGGGAGAAAAAGAGAGAAAGAGAAACATCAATGTGCGGTTGCTGGGGGCCGTGGCCTGCAACCCAGGCATGTGCCCTGGCTGGGAATCGAACCTGCGATGCTTTCATTCACAGCCTGTGCTCAATCCACTGAGCTACGCCAGCCAGGGCTTATTATGAAAAATTTTAAACTTCCACAAAATTTAAAAGAACAGTATGATGAATACGCATATACTATCTAGATTCCACATCTAGAACATTTTACATATTTATATAAATATCAATGTACATATATACATATATGTATGTTTGTTTTTGCTGAACTATTTGAAAGTTACAGACGGTATGGGTCTCTTAAGAATAATAATATTCTATATAATCACATCACTATCACATCTAAGAAAATTAATAATTTGTATCAGAGGTGTCAAATTCATTTTCACCCGGGGCAGTGCATGAGTCACCTTAGAGATTTTGCTAAAATGTAGCTTTTGAGTAAACAAGGCTGGTACAAAACCTGAGATTCCGCCTGTCTAACAAGATCTCAATGGGAAGACATTGCTGAGGGTCCACAGACCACACTTTCAGTAGCAAGGCTGTATAGTATCTGTAGAATATTCCATACTGAATTTTACTCTTCCTTCATGGCATTATTTACCTCTTTCTCTTATATTTCTACAAACTCAGTTAATTCTAAAGATTTTAGGTACGAGTTAAGCTTTTTTAAAAATCACTACAGAGACTTTGGAGTCTCTATAAAAGTAGTTCAGCACACTGGCTGGTGTGGTACAGTGGACTGAGTGCCAACCTGTGAACTGAAAGGTCGACTGGTCAATTCCCAGTCAAGGCACATGCCTGAGTTGTGGGCCAGGTCTCCACTTGCGGGTGTGCAAGAGGCAACAGATTGATATATTTCTCACACATCAATGTTTCTCTCCCTCTCTTTCCCCTCCCTTGCCCTCTCTCTAAAAATAAATAAGTAAATTCTTTAAAAAATAAATATAAAAGTAGCTTAGCCTAAATTCTACCTAATATCACTCTGCTCCACAGCTAAGCTACACTATAATTTTCATGGTTATTTATTTATTTGCTCTTTTTGATCAAGGTGGAGGAATCTTTCAATTCAGTAATAAATTCTGAATCTTGATTTAATCATACCATGTCCCAAGTAAGGGAGCATCTGAATTTACCATTTTATGAGTCATTTCTTTAAATCAAAGGGTCATCACATTGAACTCAGCCACAACAAATTAAGGCCTTCAGAGTCACAGAGATGCACAAGGCCTTCAAGTTTCCTTGACCACCATGTTGTTTCTGAATGCCTTCTCCTTCCAACTTTCCGCATCTGCCTAGCCCTACAGTTCCATCTTGCAAAATCACTAATTCAAGTCTTCCATTCTCTGATCACAACCTCAAGTTCTTCCAGTTTGCTTCACCAGCCACCCCTACTCATCATTAGTGCCCAGGCTGACAGGAGGCTCCATCTCAACAAGTGTTTCCATGATCACTACAGCACGGCAGGGAAACAGGGGCATGGCAAATGGGAGTGCTGATTCTTTAAGGTTCATTTGGAAGTGACACCTGTCATGCCTGCTCATATTTCAGTGGCCAAAACAAGTCATACAGCCACATCTAATTTCAAATAAACATGGGGCAGGGGTGTTAGGGTATGTACAAAGAGCGCAGCCTTATTGTATACGCAGGAGGAACAGAATATGTATGTGCAGCCTGAATGAGTATATCACCCCTCTAACAGAACCCCAGTCCTATGAACCCAATTAACCACTTTCTTGATGTCTGTATCCAAACAGGCTGGAGAAAGTCTTGTAAGAACGTGAGGTAGGTCCCCTAAATTCATACACAATCTCAAATGGATCAAGTCATCCCATTATCTACTATCCCCAGTCAACTTACCTTCTCCTCACACAGCCATTTGAAACCTTTTTCACTCTCCCAAACCTCCAACTCCCCCACATCCATACTCCTTAAAATACAATCTAGTTTTCTACTTTACTGAAAGAGACATAATCAGATGACAAATCTGATCTTCCCTCCACACAAACTTACATACTTACCTCCAACTATTTTAACTTGAGTCCTGAAAAGAGACAGATGTAACTAAAAGAATCCAGCAGTGAAAATGGCTCATAAGAAACTGGTCATATTTTTTTCCCAATTGCACGGTAAACTCTTGATAAACAAGAGCATTAACACATAGATAATGATTGCAGAATTTTTTTAAAAAAAAAAAGAAGAAATGGGTATTTGACCTAGAATCTATAAAAGACCTGGGCCTTTTTTCAAAAACATTGACTCAAACTTAACTTGGCAATGTCAAGTCAATTTGCAGTGGTTTTTCTGACATATACAATATGTCTAAACATACAGAATCATTTTGGACAGTAACCCACTGTTAAGCAATCACAGATCTGTGTAGGTTTCTTTTTCAGTTTCCCTTTAAAGCAAAAAGAAACGAGTCCAATTACTAGATCTTCAAATATTTTCTAACATCAACAGTGTCTGGGGAGTTCCAAGACCACCCTCACATTTGGAGATTCACTACAAGGACTCAAAAAAAAAAACCACAAAAAACACCTCAGCATATAGTTAGCTGTACTATTAGGGAACGTTTTTCACTGCAGTGTAGTATGAACACACAGCCTGATCATAATGGAGAAAGACACAGGTGAAGCCTGACATTTGCAGGCTTCCTCAACATTCTCTCCCTCTCAGAAGGGGTCAAATCGACCACCAATGCCTCTGCGCAATGTTTTTGCCCAGGGAAGCCCGTTATAGACTCCTGGGCCCACAATTTTTAAGGGAGCTGGTAACTTCAGCACAAACCATACTGCTCCCAAATGCCAAACAGGGGCTAACCTTGCAAGCAGACTTTTTAAAAATAGCAATCTCGGGCCTACCATGCACTTTTCAGCACAAAGAGTTTCTGACCATTTTTCTCCTGGGGTTTCCCAGCTAAAGTTTTCAGGTTTCAACTTCAGCATTACTCTAACATGTCTTTTCTGTAACGTAGGATGTACAACTAAGTTGATGAAAAATATTTAATTTCTTAAAAGCAGTTTATGCACACAAAAGCCCATATTCCCAAAAAAACGAAAAACAAAACAAAACAAAACCTTTTTGTTTTCCTACTCATGGGCAATTACTTTCAGTGGCGAGGAGAGCGAGAGGGGATTGGGACACAGCTCTCCTCTTAGATACTGGGCTCAAAACGATGAACACACTTACATCGCTTTACTGAGCATCACACTCGGTTCTAAGCACTTCAAAAATACTAAACCCACTTAATCCTCACAACCACCTTACGAGATCGGTTACTGTTATCTTCCCATTTTACAGTTGAAGAACCTGAGACGCAGGGGCTGAGTGACCCGCCAGCGTCCCCGAGCCAGGAAGCGGGGGTGGGGATCTGGCCCCGGACTGCCTGTCTCCGGGGCTTCCCAGTGCTGCACAGTGCGGCCAGAAGCCGTGGTTAGACACGCGCCCTCCGGTCACCGACAGAAACATCCCAAGTTCCCTCAGAGGAAATGCGTTACTGAGGAGAGAGCGCCGGAGGGAGGCCGGATAGGTGACCCGCCCCGCGCGCCTCAGCGGAGGTGAAGCCGGGACGCCGCCGCTCCCGGCCGCCCTGCTGCTTCCCGGGCTCCCCCAGCCGCTGCCCTGACACCGGGCCGACCGGGATCACGCGGCCCAGGGTGACCGCCTGGAGCCCCCAAGGATCGGGAGCCCCCCACGGGAGGGCGTGGGGGCCTCTCTCCCAGGCGCATCGCCCCACTTGGGGCTGGGGTCGCGAAAACCAAGACCGAGAAACTGTGCGACCCCGGCACCGAGCTCCCAACTCACCCCGAGGGGCCGAGCCTCCGCGTCTACACCAGGAGAGACTGCGCCTGCGCGGCCCTCCCGACCGGCGGCAGGGGCGGGGCCTCTTGTGACAGCCGGGACCTCTGGGCGGGCTGGACTGCCCCTCCAGGGGGCGGTGCGCCCGCAGTGGGGCGTGGACTGGGCGGGCCGGTGTGCTCTGGGCTACACCTCTTAGGTGGGCGGAGCCGGGTAAGCGCAGCACTGTAGGCTCCCCGGAATCTTAAAATAATAGCGGTGGACTCCCAGTTGGATTCCAATAATAGCCTGGAGTGCAGAGCTCTGGTCTTCCCGGAGTCAGGATTGCCTCACTTGTTGCCCGGTGCCAGCTAGGAGAGCCTCCGACTTCCCTCCGTCACTCTCTTCCGTACGATCAAGTCGTCTGGCAGCCACCATACATCACTTTGCTTTTTTATTATCATTGCCTTATCTTTCTCATTTCCTTGCTGGACAGGAAATTTCCTGATCTACACCTATACCTCTTAGAATTTTGGTGATCCTTTCAGGTGGTCTGAACATTGCACCTGCTTAGTAAAAGTAGGTGATTTGAAAACATTTTAATTGAACTGAGGCAGGAAAGTTAGCTTAGGAAACAGAGGCCCCCCAGGTTCTATTCCTCCCCTGCCCTTCTACGTTAGGGCACTGCGGTTGTGGCGGATGTACACACCTGTCCCCTTACTGTCAGCCTCCCAATTTCCTGGGGTAAGAAATATTCGATACAAAAGAAAACCAGTCTCAGCCAGAGTTAGCAGCCATGTTGTCCTGCATCACAGTTTTCAGGCCACTCTGCGCTCCGGACAGCCACCCTCCAGAGAGGAGGGACTGCGACTGGCTGCACAACGAATACCGCCCCAGCGTTGGAGACCAGGAGCCACACCCCCACTCGCTCCCCTTGCCCACAGCTGATAGAAAGAAACCTCCACCCAGACCCCTTGGTAGGACTCACTTCCTGAGTTCTCCTGCGCTCCCCTCCTCTTGAGTGTGTACTGTCACCTTAATAAATTTGCTGTGCTTTGCTGAATCTGTCTCTATCTTTTTTCCTGCGTGGTGACAAGACTTTGGACACTGTCACTAGGTTGTGGCCTCCCTTGACCTCCCTGTGAGCCCTCAGACATCAGAATGACATATAAATATCAACGCTAGTTATGGGTAAACTCTTTAAGTCTTGCAGTCTTTCAAACTTCTTCAGCAGGGGTCAGGTTTGGACTTATAGATAGTGCCTTGGTTTACAAGTCAAATAATACCAGAGATAAGCCAAAAATGTGTGACTTTTTCCTTTAGAACTCTAATTCATTCCTTATGCAGTAGTTAAAATTATTTCCATGTAGAGAACTTAACTGAGGAGATTACTAAATATTTATGTTTTGTGTATGGGAGCCATTTATTCCACAAATATAACCAAATACATATGCCAGTCACTGTGTTAGATACAGAGATTAGAACTATGTTTTGCAGTAAGGAATTTTCTCCCCCTAGGGAAAAGAAAATATCCCCCAATAAATGTAATTTGAAGTCTAAATTGTCTACTTCATAAATTAATAGTTTTCATTTATTTTAACATCAGATTGAAACAGAACAGGAGGGGAAAAAGACATGCAAACTTGAACAAATCCAAATAATTTGCATATAACATTGCACTACAGTATGAGCTTTTTTGGAAAGTATATATTGGTATCAAATTTGCACTTAAAAAGGGGGGTGTTGAATTAAAATATGGAAATTTAGCTTCTCAGACTCATAAAAACAAATTTAGGGATTATGCAAACAACCATACAATACTTAAATTTTTCTTAGAAATAACAAAATTCCAAAGCTATTTTTATTTCCAGCAGATGCAACCTTAACATAACCAAAATCTCCAGATTGCAATCATCATTCCAAAACTTGGAATGAGTTAGAGAAAATTGTCTAACACTATTTTTATTTCTGATATTCTTCAAATTAGTTATCTTTTTACTTAATTGAAAGTAAAACTTACTTCTCCAAGAAAGGAAATATTTTTTAAATAGTACCCAGTACCCAGTAAATATATTTTCAATGTTACTGCAAAGACATTATGACAAAACATAAATAAAAATGCAAATTTATATAAAATTAGCTGTTTATATATTTCAAAAAGCATTAAGTATTTATTTGAAAATACTGATTCATGTCAACTTAGCATTAGTAGAAAGTTAAATCCCCCAGAAAGTTAAATGATTTCTTTCCCTTTCATCCCACTAAAAACTTTGCTGACTCTCTCTGAAGGAAGAACTTGTACACTTAATATGAGGAGCAATCTCTTTTGACAAGATCTTTTTGCTCTAACCACACTTAAATAAACCAAGTTTGGCATTGTGCTAGGTATGAGGCAATATATTCACCTTTTCAGACAAAAAAAGTCTTACAGAAACATATTTCTCAAATAATGAGTCATAAACATTGGAAAATATTGTTTAGTAACACATGTTCTCACCAAAGCGTAAATCATTAAATGTGATTCATGGAGGCCGTGAACATTGTTTGCATGTCTGTGTCATACAACCTGTGGTTTATAACACATTCAGGATAGCTCCAGGATGCCATGAAAAGTACATGAATCTGCAACATATAGTGATATCTTGATTCAAAGTTAATCTGCAAAATAGATTACACAGAGACTATGACTAAGCTTCAAATTGTAACTGAGATGCAGGTCCAGCTGCCTGCTGCTACAAAAGCCAATACTGGAGAGGCAGTTGCTGGTGTAAAGGAGAATGATTTAACTTCAGGTGCTGGCCACCTTGAAGTTGAGGTACTCATGTCTCAAAGTCCACTTCCCCATTGAGTGGAGGCAGAGGTGTTTTGTATGAAGAAAGAGGGGAGCAAAACAAAGAGACTAAGGGAGAGGGTTGCAAAGTTCTCTACATGCAGACTAGCACAGTCTATTCCAATACGGCAAGTGATGGTCCAGTGTGCACCATCCTCTTTTAGTCATCCTGGCTTCACGCCATCCTGGCTCCATGGGCGAAAGTCAGCAAATCTTCTGTAGCTGGGATGCCTGAAGGTCAGAGTTTGTATATTTTGAAAGTAGTTCCTAGTATTCTTATACAAACATGCTATTTAGCTACAAGCCACATAGTAGTCAGAGTCAGCACATACAGAAACAATGTCAAAAGAATAGTGGGGTGGGTTATAATTTCCCACTGTTATAATTTTCTACCATTACAAAATTATTTGGAAAAACACAATTGTAAGTGATGTCATTGGTATAGAAATCTGAAGTGGTTTTATTAAATATTAAATTGTTGAAAACTGAACAATTTAAAATGGATGCTTAATGAAATTATTCCCTGGACACACACTTTAATAATGTTATTTAGAAAATAATTTTTAAATTTCCCACTGTGAGTGAATTCACAATTAAATATAGCTTTTATTGTGCTTAGAAACCAAGTTGAGAATTAAAAACAAGGTAATAAGAAACTTTATGTAATAGGCTGAATAATGCCCACCACAAAGTGTTCCAATTCCCAAAACCTATGAATATGTTACCTTACTTGGCAAAAGGATTGAGCAGATAGGACTAAATTAAGAATCTTGATATGGGAGATTATCCTGGATTATCCTAGTGGTCCCAGTATAATCACAAAGCTCTTTATAAAAGGGAGACAAGAGGATCAGAGGGAAGAAGGGGGATGTGACATCAGAAGCAGAGCAAAGTTAGAGAGTTGAAGAAGTTAAACTGCTGGCTTTGAAGATGGGGAAGGGAACTGCTAGTCAAGGAAAGAGGGCAGCCTCTAGTAGATGGGAAAGGTAATTAAAAAAATTTTCTCCCAGAGCCTTCAGAAGAAACATAGGCTTGATGACACCTTAATTTTAGCCAGATGAGACTTCTGACCTACAGAACTGTGCATAATAAATTTGTATTGTTTTAAGCCAGTAATCTTGTGGTAATGTGTTAGAGTAGCAGTTGGTGACTACCACATTTTAAAAAATAATTGCACCTCACCCTGACAAAGTTATCATCAAACGGTGGAAAAGATGACAATACGAGATTATCCTAATACTGGCACCAGTTGAACTAGTTATTGGAGTTCAGAGCAATTCTAAGAAGAGCATCCATGTAGTTTGTTTTAATCCAATATATTAGAATCCTAGTAAAAAGCAAATTGAAGAAATGGGCTTACTTTAAAGCTTTAAATGTTATCTTTTGGTATATTTACTACGTTCTACTTTTAAACTTTGTCTCTCCTTAATAGAAAAAAAAGAAGCAAGCCAATCCTTAGTTTCTTTCCAAAAGATTTTAAACATTAAAGCAGGACACATTTTGGTCAGCGATTAGGCCTTGTGGAACTACTCAGTTGGGCCGGCGCCCGGCTGGAGGGCGCCCAAGAGTCCGACACAGCTCGCCCGGCAGCAGGTGGAGGAGGAGGAACAGGAGGAGCCAGAGTTGGAGCAGGGGGAGGAGCAGGAAGAGGGGCACCGGGAGGAGCTTTGACAAACTGCGGGGAGAAAGTGGTTAGTAGTTGGAAGTGCGCGAGCTGGTAACGATGCTGCAGAAGTTGCTGTTTGGAAGTGCGCGCCGCGTGATCCTCGGGTCCGCGGAGGCTGCGCTGTGGGGTGAGCTCGGCCGTCCCTGGGGAGAGGAAGAGCCCTGACTTCGGGCCCCAGGGAAGGGATGCGATGGGTTGGGGCGCTGGCTTCTTCAGACTTCCAGTTAATAGTCAAACCCATTCCTCTCGGTACCTGGGGATGTAGCGCCCTGCAGTTCTTGTTACAGCAGTTGCTGGATTATTGGAATCTTAGGCTGCTCTGGGGGACGCCGGGAGCGGAGTAAACATTGCTCGGGGAAGCTCGCGTAGGAAAGCATTTATAAAGGGACTGGTGCTTGATTGAGCAATGAAGGTGAATATTCGACTCTGGGAACCCAACCAGATGGCCAGCTCCTGCCCAGGAGGGACGTAATGTGGAGCCCAGCCCCGCGAGTTTCATTTGTGACCCACTAGGAAGCAGCCCTTATAGCATGATGAGACACTCATCTAGGATTATAGCGTGTTAAAGCAGTAAAAGTAACACCGCGAATTTTACAGATGACCGAAGGGAAGACGGGGCAAAGGTAGTCAGTGGAGACATTAGGTCTAGAACTCAGAGCAAGCTTCCAGTCCTTTCTCTTTACTTTCGTGCCGCCTCTCTTTCAGCAACAACTGTTATTTGTGGCTTCAAGGCCAGGGGACTGGCGTAACACTGTCTCCCCTCCTCCCCTCCCAGGTGTTCATTTTAACTGTCCGTACATCCTCTGTAGTGCGTAGTGCTTTTTTTCTGTGCAGATGCTTTGTTGTTTGTTTTTACCTTTGTTCAACAACCATTCATTGAGCGGCTCACCGGCCAGGCCTCCTGCTGGGCATACAGCCTCTGCAGTTCTCTTTTCCGTTTTGGGGGGAGATAGACACAAGTAACAGTCACCACACACAGCACCGTCTAGTGAGACTGCAATGGAAAGAACTGACTCTGCCTGAGTTGGAGAAAGTTAGAGAAAAGGTGCCTTTTCATTTTATATATGAAAATAAACTATAGAATACTGTAAGTCTCCTTTATACACCATCCTACTCTCCTCCCCAGGTTTGTTACCAAACCTTCTAAACACTTTTCTATAAGTATACATAAATGTACACATAAAATACTACATATATAATATATAATAAAATCTGTTATAGGTCACATTTCATATATATTATTTATATTACATTATGATCTACAGTGCATTTTTTCCTGTATTTTTTCTCACTCAGTTATTCAGAAGCTTTCCATGACAACACATGTAACTCTTAACCACTGCATGTATCCATAGTGTGGATTACCACAGTGTATTTATTCAGTCCCCTGATGATGAACATTTTGCTTTCCAATTTTTTGCCATTATAAAAAGATCTTCAACAGTTATCGCACCCGCCTCTTCATGTATGTGTGTAAGTATTTTACTAGACTAGATAGCCAGAAGTGAGGCTGTTGGATCAAAGTGGTAGTGACAAGTGGCATTTAACTGGGTCTTAAAGAAGGGAATAAGTGTACCAAGTAGAGATGAATGAGAAAGCTATTCCCTTCAGAAGAAACAGTGTGCATAAGTCATGAAGAAAAAGTGAAAATATGTACTGTGTCAATTATTTAAACCTCACAGCAACTCTAAAAGATTATTCCCATTTTACAAATAAACTAAGTCCCAGAGAGTGTAAGTACTGTATTTTTTGGACCATAAGACACATCCCCCCAGCAAATTTGAGAGGAAAATGGGGGTGCATCTCATAGTCTGAATGTAGCTTACCAAGCTTGCTGTGGGGGGGGGGGGGTGGCAGTGGAGCGGGTCACAGGTTATTAAATATTTTACCAGTTTTTGCTTCAAAATTTTTTTCCCTATTTTCCTCCTCTAAAACCGGGGTGCATTTTATGGTCTGGTGCATCTTATAGTCCTAAAAATATGGTAATCTGTCCAGGGTTACAGAGCTAAGTGGACAAGCCAGGAATTAAAGCTGGTTTATTGGACTGTAAAATCCCTTCTCTTACTACTATAAAATGTAGGTAGGGCACATGTCTTTTTTTTCTGTGCTACAACCCATGTTTGTTTAATATGTTTGGTATATTTCAAGGTAATTAATTATGTTTGATAAATATTAATATCTGGGTAATAATAAGTTTTGGTGTAAAGGTGTTTTATATTCACCACTTTCTTGGCAAAAAATGTTTTAAAATTATAGATTTATAGAAATTCTACTTGGATGGCATCTTGGAAATAGCATAACATTTATTTTATAGATCAGGAACTTAGGCTCAAGAAAAACAAATTTAAGAGATTGAGAATCATCAGCTCAAATAGCTAGACAAGTGGCATAACACCACATGTGCACTACAGTCCCCTCCTTGCTCAAGCATTGTGCTTCACAGAAGGCTTCTGTGTTCATCTCTTCCTTATATAAATGAAAGGAGAAAATACTGCGTTTTTCTCTGTTTTTAAAGTTAGGATTCTTGGCCTATGAACTTTCAAAGTCATTCCATGAAGTACTCATTTCACCACATAGCCAGTAAGTCCACAAGTAATACCTACATACCAGAGTTAACTATGATACATGCAGGAAGGTCAGGTACCCTCCTGTCCCTCACAACCACTTAAATTCAAAGGTGACTGAAGTTGGAAGAACAAGAACAATGAGTTAAGAGAGCAAAGGTGGTATTAGGAGTCTTTTCTATGAAGATCAGGTCATCAGATCAATACACTCACCCCAACCCTGTCTCCATTGACCTATGGCTATTTCATAGTGGACATCAGGGTGAATATTGGTGGTTAAAACAGGTCTGATGCCTCAGAGGTAGGATTTTATTTATTTATTTATTTATTTATAGATTTTATTTATTGTATTTTTAGAGAAGGGAAGGGAGGAAGAAAGAGAGGGAGAGAAACATCAATGAGTGGTTGCCTCTCACGTGCCCCCCTATTGGGGACCTGGCCAGCAACCAAGTATGCGCCTTGACCGGGAATCAAACTGGCAACACTTTGGGTCATACGTCAGCACTCAATCCACTGAGCCATACTAGCCAGGGCCATTTTGTGCTTTTTATATATATATATAATGGTGACAATTCCCTTATTTTTAAAAATTTTATTCAGTTTTATTTATTTTTTTAAACATATATCTACATATATATTTATTTTTTAAAGTTTTTTAAAAGATTTTATTTATTTATTTTTAGAGAGGGAAGGGAGGGAGAAAGAGAGAGAGAGAGAAACATCAATGTGCAGTTGCTGGGGGTCATGGCCTGCAACCCAGGCATATACCCTACTGGGAATCGAACCTGCGACAGTTTGGTTTGCAGCCCACACTCAATCCACTGAGCTATGCCAGCCAGGGCTTATTCAGTTTATTTAAACTAAAAAATAGTTCAACTCTTTTTCCTCCCCTGCTCCTACCCCCAGTAGTTGAAGCCCCACCCACATCTGGCAAACACCAATCTGTTTTTCATATCTATGAGTTTTTTACATACATTTTTAAAGATTTCACATATGAGTCATCATATAGTATTTGTTTTTCTCTTTCTGACTTATTTCACTTAGCATAATGCCCTCAGCGTCTATCCATGTTGTCACAAATGACAAGATTTTATTCCTTTTTTACGACTGGGTAATATTCCATTATATATATGTACCACAATTTCTTTATTCATTTATATATTGATGGACACTTCTTGGCTATTTTAAGTATTGCTGCAGTGAAATGCAGGCGAATATATCTTTGAATTAGTGTCTTTGTTTTCTTTGGATAAATACTCAGAATGGAAGTGCTGACTACAGTAGATGAAACAGTCCCTCTTCAAGCTGGAAGGAGTGGCTTTGTCATTCAACCTTGTCATTAAACACTGCCTTAGCTCTTGGTTGTCTCTCAAACCTTTGTGCTTGCCCAAGCCACCTATTATGTCTTTAATAGCTCCCAGTAGTTGAGGATATGCCAAGGCCTGTCAGTGTCCCACAGGGGTGGATCTCAGGCTGACTGCATGCTAGACCATCAGCTTTTAAAATGTGCAAATGTATACAGTCCTATGGGATTGAAAGTGTAAGCCCCACTGGCCACCAGAGCCATACAGTCTGGAGGTGTACCCTTGGTGGCAATCACCGAAATCAGGACTTAACATACTTTTGATGTAGCTGGAGGGTAGGGTAATTGAGGGAGAGGAAGAATGAGGAAGATTGTAAGGCTTGATAAATTGTGCTGGTAAGGTGTGTTGAAAGGCTTGGACTGTATCCTGTACTAAGGAGTTTGGACTCTAATATAATGTGGGCTGTCCTGTAATGTAGGCTGTAGGGAGAACCCAGGTATGGTTAGATTTACTGGTGTGGAAGAAGCAAAATTAGAGTCTATTGAAAGATTAGGCTGAAAAAGGTCAAAATCAGGTACAGTGTATATTACTCTTGAAATCCTCAAGAGAACTACACATGATCTTTGAGTAAATCCCAAATATCAGTTTTTCTTCAGTATAGGAACAGATCACTGTTTCTTTGGTTAAGTACCAGATAAAGTGGTTGATTTACAGTTAGAGGCCTTGTTGTACAAAAACAAAAAACCACACTATAGCTTTAAAGAAAGAATTAGTTTGGAGTAGAGGCTCATACCAAGAGAGGCCTGGAGATGCTGGGAGTCGTTAAGGAAACATGCTTGCTTCAGGCTTTGGCTCAGTACGGAAAGGTAAGGAAATCATCTCTGCTAATTACACACCCTGTTCTTCCCAGCATCCCTGGGAAGAACAGTATAGCTGAATTAGAGAAAGTTAAATGTCAGTTTTAACAAGAAAAATACAACTATCTTTTCTTTAGTTACACAGGCTACATTCTGTGATTATGTTTCCCAGTGGCTAAATGCCACAATCTTGAGTTTAACGTAACTTATTAAACTACTATACTTTTCTAGTACCTAATAGTAAGGAATAGTTAACAAGTGTGAATTCAACCTGCTGGCCCTTTATATTCTGAGAATCCACAAAACAGCTAATTGAAAGAAAGAGTTTGATTCCATGTATTTTAAGATCTAATCTTGACAAAAAAATGAACCAACTTTTTAAAATCTGAAGAGGATGAGAAAGTCTGTATTTTTATTTTAAAAATGTACTTATTATGGTAAAATATAACAAAATTTATCGTTTTGATCATTTTTGAGTGTACAATTCAATAGCATTATTTATGTTTACAATGTCATCAGTCATCACCACTATGCCTAAAAATTTTCATCCCCAACTGAAACTCTGTTACCTATTAAGCAGTAACTTCCTATCTTCCCTCCAGTGCTCTGGTAACTTCTAACCTATTTTCTCTTTCTATGAATTTAACCTGTTCTAGTTTTGTCATATAAATGAAATCACAAAATATTATCCCTTTTGTGTCTGGTTTATTTCACTCAGCATGTTTTCAATGTTGTAGTTTCATCTTGTGGTATGTGTCAGAACTTTATTCCTTTTTATCGCTAAATAATATCCCATTGTAGGTACACGCCACATTTTTAAATCCATTCATCTGTTGATGAACACTTAGGTTGTATCCATCTTTCGGCTATTGTAAATAATGCTGCTATGAGCACTGGTATATAAATATCTATCTAAATCCCTGTTTTTGATTCTTTTGGGTACACACCCTGCTACATAACAAGCTATGTTTGGGTCAATGAAGACCTGCATATATGCATATATGAGAGTCCCATAAGATTAGAATGGAGCTGAAAAATTCCTGTCTCCTAGTGACAGTTCAGTGCCTGACTTCAAAGGAATTGCCAAGGATAAGAAGGTTGCAAAAACCAACAAGGCTGTGGTTGAGATGGCAAACAACTTTAACTTGGGTGTAGATGAGGATGACATTGAGAATCTCCTAGAGGTGGTTGCTGAGGAATGGATTGATGAGTTGTTGGAACTAGAACATGAATGCATAGCTGAAGAGGCAAGAGAAAAAAAGGAGACTGCAGGAGAAGAAAAATAGCCACTCCCAAAAAATTCACAGTGAAGAATTTAGCAGAAGCTTTGCAGACCTCAACAAACTCCTTAAAAAGTCTGAAAACATGGACACCAACACCAAAAGGTTTTCATCAACAGAGAAGAATGTTCATATTGCATTATCTGCTTTAAAAAAATCTACAATGAAAAAAGTACACCAAGCAAATCACCATGGGCATATTACTGAAAAAAAAAAAATGATGCCTCAAGAAAAGCCTCAGGTGGGTCTTTTGGAAGGTGTTCCAGAAGAAGGCATTGTTATCACAGGAGATGACAATTGCCTGCGTGTTATTGTCCCTGAAGACCTTCAAGTAGGACAAGATGAGAAGCTGGAAGACAATGATATTGATGATCCTGACCCTATGTAGGTCCAGGTTAATGTGTATTCGTGTCTTAGTTTTTAACAACAACAACAAAAATTTTTAAAAGTAAAAATAAGTAAAAAATAAAAAGTATTTTTAAATAGATAAAGCTTATACAATAAGGACATGAAAATATTTTTGTACAGCTGTGCAATGCTTGTTTTAAGCTGTTATTACAAAAAAGTCAAAACGTTGTAAAAAATCAAAAAGTTGATAAAGTAAAAAGTTACATACAGCAACCTAAGGTTAATTAATTATTGGAGGAAAATAGATAAATAAATTCAGTGTAGACTAAGTGTGCAGTGTTTATGGAGTCTACAGTAGTACACAGTGATGTGCCAGGCCTTCACATCCACTCACCCCTCACTCACTGACTCCGAGCAACTTCCAGTCCTGCAAGCTCCATTCATGGTAAGTGCCCTACAGGTGTACCATGTTCTATCTTTTATACCATAATTTTATAGTACCATTTCTAGGTTTAGATACTCAAATATTCACCATTGTGTTACACTTGCCAATAGCATTCAGTACGGTAATGTGAGGCGCAGGTCTGCAGCCTGGGAGCAACAGTCTGTACCTGAAGCCTAGGTGTGTAGTGGGCACTACCATCTAGGTTTGTGTTTAGTGCAGTCTGTCATGTTCACACAAAGACGAAATCGCCTAGTGATGCATTTCCTAGAACATATCCCACTGTTAAGTGACACATAACTGTATCATTTCCCCATAAATTTGAAATATTACCGTTATCAGATACTGAATTACCATAGATGGTACACTGTGGGTCTGCTTCTGGACTTAGACCTTTGAAACTCCTTATGTCAGTTTTACACTACTTAACACAGGTTCACATTATATTTAATATTTCAAACATTTGAAGCATTATTTACCTTAGTGGTCATTTTGTTGTGAAATATGAACACTAACTTTGCTTTTAATTAAAAATTGTGTAGCCTTTAACTTTTTAAAATATAATTTTGGACCTATAGAAAAGTCACAGAAGTAAAATATTTTTGCCCAATTTCTTCCTATAAACATCTTACCTGGTACAATTATGGAAACAAAATTAATTTTGACATAATACTATTAACCAATCCAGAGACCTAATTTAAATTCCACCAGTCTTCCGCCCTGGCTGGTGTGGCTCAGCAGATTGAGCACTGGCCTGCAAACAAAAGGTCACCATTTTGATTCCAGTCAGGGCACATGCCTGGGTTGTAGGTCAGGTCCCTGGTTGTGGGCCTGCGAGAGGCAACCGATCGATGTTTCTCTTCCTCTCTTTCTTCCCCACCCCTGTCTAAAAAAATACATAAAATCTTAAAAAAAACCCACCAGCTTTCTCACTGATGCCTCTTATAGTCCCAGACCCAATCCAAGATCCTACATTTGTATGAAGTTGTTACAGCTCCTTTGCTTCAATCTATGCCAGTTCCACAGGCTTTGTCTTTCATGACTGACACTTCTTTTAGTGTATTTACCTTTAGCCTTTATTTATGAAGCATAGGTATTTGAACAGTTAATATTCCATTGTATATACTTTATTTTTTTAAGGTTTTATTTATTTTTAGAGAGGGGAAGGTAGAGAAACATCAATGTGTGCTTGCCTCTCACATGCCCCCTACAGGGGAGTTGGCTGGCAACCCAGGCATGTGCCCTAGACTGGGAATCAAACCAGCAGCAACCTTTTGGTTCACAGGCCAGCACTCAACCCACTGAGCCACACCTGCCATGGCATGACTGACACTTTTAAGAGTACTAGTTATTTTATGGGTTGGTTTCAGATTTTCTTCTGATTAGATTCAGGGTATGCATTTTTGGCAAGAATACAAAAGAAGTGGTGTGCTCTCCTCAATGCATCATATAGGGTACATATTGTAAATCACTAGTGACCTTTGAATAACTGGTTAGTGGTATCTTTCAGGTGTCTCCTTTTGTATAATTAGTATCTCTTAGGGGATACTATCCCATTTCTCAACATACTTTCATCTACTAACTCTAGCATCTATCAATGGCTCTTGCTGCAACACTTATTACCGTGGTGTTTACCTAATGATGATGGTATTTCCATCATTCCTTCTACATTTATCAGTTGGAACAATCCCCACTCACTTATTCAATTATATCCTTAGTATTGACGTATGGATTAATTTTATTTTATGGTTATTTACTCATTACTATATTATGTTAGCAATTATTTAACAGAAACAGTACCATTAAGTACTTACAAGTGCTTTCAAATGCAAGGTCCTTATATCATATGGCTTATTACCTTTGCTTGTAAGGGGAAATGAAGTTAAAATTTTCTCTTTTTTCTAAGATTTTATTTATTTATTTTTATAAAGGGAAGAGAAGGAGAGAGAGAGAGAGAGAAACATCAATGTGCAGTTGCTCGGGGCCATGGCCTACAACCAAGGCATGTGCCCTGACTGGGAATCAAATCTGTGATGCCTGGTTCGAAAATTTTTTTAATATTGCAACTTTAGATCATGATAAGATTTACATATTTGCACAGTTCACTCAATGAATGCTTTATGTGTATTTACAAATTCACTCCAATTAAGGGGCTTGGAGAGGGTAGAATATAGAGCTGGCACAAAGCCAGCCATTAAGCAAGCAGGACGGGAAGATAGGGCTGCATCCTCCAGTTCAGACTGTGCAAAATATACACACAGACTACAGTTTAGTAAAGTTGAAAGAACAAGTATAGTTAGCTGACTTGAACCGGGGGAACATTCCTTCAACCTTTTCTTTGCAGATATTAATAGTGATACCATTTTGAAGGTGCCTTTATTATTTATTCTTTCTAGGTTTGAATTCAATAAAAGGAAACTGCCACAATTTTTGTACTGCCATTTTTAAAGATGTCACCTATAAGGAACTTAAAAACCTCTTGAATTCCAAAAAAATTATGTTAATTGATGTTAGAGAGACATGGGAAATTGAGTGTGGAAAAATCCCTGGGTCTGTCAATATACCATGTAAGTTGTATGTGTTTTAAACTGATTCATTACAGAAAAATATATAGATTCACCCAATTTACTGTAGATAAAATTTAATGGAGAGTCTTTACATTTTTTTTTTTCCAGTGGGTGAGGTAGGTGAAGCTCTACAGATGCACCCAGAAGACTTCAAAGAGAAGTATAATGAAGTGAAGCCATCCAAATCCGATAGTCTAGTGTTTTCTTGTTTAGCGGGAGTGAGAAGCAAGAAGGCTCTGGACACAGCAGTATCTCTGGGCTTTAACAGGTACATAGATGAAGCATAAAAATGGATTCAAGAATGTATATTGCAAGGTTTCATATGTACTACAATTTTGCTGGAATACTGAAGAACTTATAATTACTGTTAGTAATGGCAGTATAGTAAGAGTAAGAGCCTCTATCTTTTCATACTACTCAAATGTAACACAATCTTTTAAATAGGCTAAATAGTAGCCTAACAATCTTTAAATCTCTAAATAGTATGGTGAGTAGCCACTACATCTCTAAATCTCTAAAGTTCATAAAGTTTCTATCAACCTTGTGTTATAAAGCAGGAGAAAATGTTTACAGCACTGTTTGATGTATGTTTTCAGTGCCAAACACTATGCTGGAGGATGGATGGAATGGGCATCCTACGAATATTCAGAGAAGCCACAAGGAAACTGAATTTTGGAATTCAAGCTCACTTTTTCCTTGTGTATGTGCAGCCTAGCACAATGGAATGAGCAAGAGAATAAAACCCTAGCCCTGGCACCACTGGCTAATGGGAAGATTTTGTATAAGTCAATTATTTGTCGAATCTTTTTCCTAGCTGTAATTGAGAATACAACTGCTTACTTGTAAAGGCTATTGAAGGTCAAGACACTGTAAGTGACTTCCCATAGATATGTAAGGGTTGGGATTCCAGGAATTAATTTTTAAACCATTTAGTATAGTTTAATAGTATTCCAAAAGACCAGGTTACTTATATGTCCTAATCATGTGTGACTATTTGTGTTAGTATATCTTCTATCCACTAGAGGCTATAAGTTCTAGGCCAGATTAATAAACAGACTTGACATTAAAACACCAAGAATCTGGGGTCCTTCTAAGTAGATGAAATAATAATGAAAATACATTAACAGCATCCAAAGACTAATGGCAGTGTTGTGACCAGCATGGTAGTGATATAACTTTCAATTTAAAAATTATGATCTGGCCCTGGCTGGTGTAGCTTTGTGGATTGAGTACAGGCCTGTGAACCAAAGGGTTGCTGGTTTGATTCCCAGTCAGGGCACATGCCTGGGTTGCAGACCAGGTCCCTAGTTGGGGGTGCATGAGGGGTAATCACACATTGATGTTTCTCTCCCTCTCTAAAAATAAATAAATAAGATCTTTAAAAAAATTAGTATGATCTGTAAGGATCAAAATCAGAACAGCGACTGCTTCTGTTTAGGGAAGGAGATTAACTAGAAAGGCAAGGAGGGATATTTCTAGTGTGATAGAAATGCCCTGTGGTTCACAGATCTAAACATTTATCAAAACTCATTTAAGTGGACACTTAAAAATGTATTTTCTACTATTATATAAATTAATAAAAAACAGAAAAAAAAGCTTAACCACTAGCATGAGTATATTCCTTTGGAATGTCTTACACTTGTTAGTGCACTAGTGCCCGGGTAGTAAAACAAATTTGTGCTTTCTTCCATCTGTACCTCTTCGGACCCATCTGTTTGTCATCCAGATCCTGTAAGGCCTAGCCGGTGACTATGAGAACTTGGTTTGTCCTAAATGATATATATTAGCCACTGGAGAATCTGGAGTAGGGATGTGATGTGATCACATTGAGCTTCTATTTCTGATAATGTCAATCAAGTTTCTAGCAGAGCAAACTCCCTACAAGAACTACAAAAGCTGGGAAATCCATATATGTAATGTGCACACACACTTCAGTGTTGCTTCACCCTCCCTAAAGCTCTCTTTCTCTGTGAGATTGTGCCTTTTCATGTCCTCGCTGCCTTAGTATACTTGCTCTAGTATTAAACTATAAAGGCAGATCCAAGAAGGAAAGCTGTACAGAATGAGCCACTGTTGAATTACTGAACCTGTCAAGGAACACGAATCTGGGTTAAATACACCAGGCTTTTATATAGTTTAGTTGGAATCCCTGAAAAGCTTATTGTAGGAGTGGAGGTGAACCAGAAACTGACTAACCCCTGTAAAAAAGGTAAGGCCAGCTTTGAATCAACTAAATGTCTGAATGGATTAAGGTGATCTTCTTGATACCCTTACAGGCCTACCAGAAGTAAATCCTCTTTTGGACAAAGATACCATTTGTCTAGCTACAGCAGGAGTTGGCAACAGTAAATACCTTAAATTGCCATATAATCTCTATTAACCAACTGCTACTGTGGCACAAAAGCAGCCATAGGGCCATACATAAACAAGAGTGTCGCTGTTATCCCAATAAAACTATTTATGGTTACTTAGGTTTGAATTTTGTATAAGTTTCATGTATTGCCAAATATTCTTTTATTTTTCAACCATTAAAAATAGAGCAAACATTCTTAGATCAAAGATCAGCCCCAAACCAGTGGCAGGTGAGATTTGGCCCACCCCTAAGCCAGAACCACAAATGATACATAGAATTTTTCATATTGGTGTTCAGAATTCTACCAAATCTTACTAGAAACAGCGGCAAATAGGACCTCATGATTGAAAAATAAAGGAATAAAGACAATAGAAACATCCACAAAAGACCTACATACTGGAGTTTACAGCCACTTTAACTTTGGTTTATATATTCAATAACTTATGATAAAACAGAAAAGTTTATTACAGAAATGGGAACTATAAAAATGTATCAAATAGAAATTCTAGAATTTAAAATCCAGTAGATGGTAGATAAGTTTAACAGATTAGCCACAGCTGAGGGTTAAAAATGAAAAAACTGATATCTATATATTAACATAGATGACTCTCATAGGTAAAGCAAATTTCAGAAACATATACAAGAGTTTGAAAACAAGCAAAATGCCATTTATTTATATGTATGTGCATATGGATATATATGCATAACAAGTTACTAGAATAATAAATACAAAATTCATAATGGCTTCCTTTGGAGAGAGAACATAGGCTTTACCAATATTGTTAACATATCCTCAACTCTGAGACATACCAGTTTGTACAATTATACCTTTGGATTCCTGGTATTTGTTTAAAGAAAAAAATTATGATAAATAATGTATCCTGTTTGGGTTTCCTATACCTAAATATAATTGTACTTATCTTTTTTAAAAACTAGGGGCTAATAAATTAATTAGAGTAATTTATTTGCTACATTAAACTGGTAAAAAAATTTTAGTTGTCACTTTTTCTGAAATAAAAATTTAAAAATTATATATCTGAAACTGCACTGACTTTTACAATGAAACTAAAGAGCAAAAACCACTACTAAGGTCTGTGGTATCAGAGAACTCAAAACATAAAAAAATATAGCATATTATTTAACATATTTAAGTGGCTGTTTTGTTTTAATGATGAGAGAATATCACTTTTGATTAACTTTGCATTATCAAAGTTTTAGAAATGTGACATAGAAAAAGTGTCAACAGTGGACAACTTCAAGAGTTCTGCATTAACTGAAGTGTCTCGGGTTTCCTTCATTTACATTTCTTGCCTACCAGCCTCATGATCTTAGTGAGGTCTCTTGGATTCTGTGATAATGCACCCTTTCGCTATTTAGTATGTATATACCATAGAAATACTGGATGGAGGTAGGATCAACAGCTAATTGGTGAGAAATTTGTATTACTAAGGACAAATGGAAAATTAAATGCTTCTTCTACCATCTAGTAACAATTACTTTTCACTGTCTAAAAGGGCAGCAGTTTATTAGTGAAAAAAGGTGATTTTGTTACTACCTCTTCTCTGTGCTTCAACATTCTCCAGGAGCAAAATAAGGGAAAGGGGAAAGAGAGAAATTTTAATAAACAATGGTAATGGCAGAATCTGCTTGAAGTGTATCCAGATGGGGATAATAGTTTCCTGTGTGAATACATACAATATACTTGTTTACAGGCACACGATATTTTGGGTTGCTGTTTGCATTCATTTAACATTAATGGGTAAGGAAGGCAGGTGAAACTTGCAGCTGAACATCAGGGGGCAGGAATGACAATGAGATCCTTTACTGGAAACAGAAGATAAACTGAATACTGAACAATGATACCTAGCCCCCTGGCTTCACTTGTCTCCAAGAACTGACAGCCCCCTCAGACAGAAAGCTAGAAGCTTCCTCTCTAGAAAAAAAATGGACCCATCCCAAAGAAAAAGCTTCAGAATATGATGTTGAATTTTAACATTCTCCAAAAAGGACTTAAAAGAATTTTAAAAGTGAGATGATGATGGAATCTATGAATTTTAAAAGACTTAAAAGATTTATCAGTGAATTACAATGTGTGGTCCTCATTTAGATCCTGACTAGAATTATTTAACAATATTTCATAAGAGATAGCAGAAAACTTTAACACCAAGTATTTGATATTATAAAATTATGATGACTATTTCTTGTTTAGGTACAAGAATACTTTTATAGCTTTCTCTTACAGAGCAATTATCTTTGAAGAATACATAGTGAAATAAGTATGGATGAAATGGTATCTTTGATTTGCTTCAAAATAACATGCATGTTAGGGGAAATGGGTGAGAATTTAGAAGAAATAAAATTGGCCATGAATGATAACTGTTGGAGCTGGGTAATCAGTATGTGGAGGTTCATTACACCATTTATCTATTCTATATATGCTGATTTAAAATTTCTATAGGAGGCTGGAAATAAAACTCTAAGTCATATGTATTAATTTCCAAAGTAAAAGTTTTAAAACAATATAGGTAAACTTAAATGAAAAATTAGGGTTAAGTTAATGATTATGATATATAATTACTCTGTTCTTTCAGCCCAAGCCCAATCTTACTTCCTTCAGACCTGAGGTAAGTTTTTTTCTCATTTTTTATCCTGACACTGTGAGTCTAGGAGACCAATAATTGTCATTGGTACTGAATTTATACATAATCTCCTTCCCCAGTTTCTCTGCTGCTTTCCACAAGGTAGCAGATCTCTAAGTCTGCTTTTGAACCATTTGAAATTACCCATTTGACAAACTATAGAAGGCTTTAATACTAGTCAAAAAGAAGATGGACTCTCAAAAAAAATAAGGCAGATTTAATAAGATAAATAATCAAGACACTGGTCAATATGGCTGGAGAACGTACTTTTATTCTTGCAATTTTATACTAGGAAATCAACATTGAATTTTATAATTCATTGTTCACAATTAACTTGTAAAATTTTTAATCCTTAAATTGTACATCAATATCCTATGACTCCAAATTTTATTTATCACTCTCCTTCAAGTATGAAGAAAATGATTAATTTATTAAGTTCCACAGACAGCACAGTCCCACTGACATAACATTTAGTCTTAAGTCCTACGCTCATGAGAATTAAGAGTAGCCAGTATCAAACTGGCCTGAAACCTGATTGTGTTCCTGGCTCAGGATACCTGTAATAAATTTGTAAATCCACACTAAGACACAAAAATAAACTAGTGTGTGTATGTCATATAAAAAACTTTTCACAGTAGAGTAAAAATTAACATTAAAATGTTACCAAATTTCAACCATACTATGTTTTATCCAATTAGCTTTCTAAATGCCTGATTTAACTGTGAATCAAATGCAAATGACTTCATGTAGGATTTTAAAAAAAATTTGCCCAGCATTTCAAAATGGTTACAGAATTAATATAACTTTTTAAATGTCAAAGTATGCTATACATATTGCACTTTTCTGCTAGGCTGGGCTAGTATCTTCCATGGCAAGATACTAAAACTACTGAATAAAATACACTTTAAAATCAATAGGTACTTGATTAATTTCCCTGAAATTATCAACATCATTACCAAAATCTTCCAGGATTTTGTAAGATTTGATTCCTTAAATACAGTTTTAAAGTTTAACTTAAGGAGGGGAAAAAAAAACCCTCATATATTTCACTTTTTATGTCCTTTTTTGGTCCTTCAATGACCAAAGATAATTTTAAACAAATTATGCTTCATGTTTCCTGGCTTAATAAAAAGCTACAATTTCTATTATCCAAATTAAGAAAAATGACACTAATCAAAAACTATTAATTTTGAAATGTCTATAGGTCCCCTTAGAACCTTTCCAAACTTTTATAATCAAGATACTTTAATCAATTATGTACTAGAATCAAATTAGGTAAGGAAAAACTTATTTTGCAAAAATAAAATCACTTCCCAATATGCTTGACAGAAACAAGCTATTCGTTTTCATTTGTGTTCCATTGAAGACATTACTGAAATCTGTCCAATGGTTTATTTCCAACTGGTCCACTACGGAATTCTTCGGAATGTTTTAAGATTGGCTGTAGCTAGAATTCTGACTTCCATTTGGACCCTGCTCTCCTTCACTGTGTAAGTGGGAAAGAAAAAGATTTTATACCAATTAAAAGATTCATTTTCAAAACCCTGATAAGCCTACTAGTTTTTAAAGTTAGTTTTTCTGTGGTACAAATTTACAAAACAAAGACACTCACAATTTTAAGACACAGATATGGAAAAATTAAAATCCAGAAGACTAATATTTGGTTTTATATTTTTATTCTTATGTAACTTAGTATCCTCATACATAACAAGCTTTTTGAAAGTTAGTATCCATATACACTAAAAAAATTTAAATTAGGGTATGGGATTTCATTGTCATTACAGGTATCACTCAACATATAGATCAGAGCTTCTGAACAAATTTCCTATAAAATTAAATCTTACATATAAAATTGTATTCCTATTAATCCGTTATAAAAATCAAGAAGTGTTCTTCCAAAAAAAATTATTGTTTGAAGGCATACTAAAATCTTATGTAAATATAGCAAATCTTTATAAATCAGAAATATGGTAATTTCCTGGAAAATGCTGAATATTTAAAATAAAAGTAACTAAAACTGAAAATACCAGTAACTGTGGCAATAGGATTATTGCCTTATCTTGTCCATCATCATCTTGCAGCTTCAGGCCCTGCCACTAGTGGAGAATCACTCAGGGAATTTCTGCAAAAAATGCATCCAAGGTAGCTGTTTGAATGACTCCTTTAAAACAGCTCCTTGTGTAAGTATTTATTTTTTCTAACAGTGACATTAATGTATCAGATCTACAAATCTATCTCAATGTTTTATAACTTAAGGTAAAGTTAATTAAGATAGGCCATATTTCTTTATTTTCCTTTTGACCTTGTTTCCCTACCCGAAATGATCTGATGCACAGTGGAAGCTAACCACTGAACTATATATGAACAGATCCTACTAAAACAACAAAAACTCCCTAAGCACAAGTGATTCATATTTAGCAAAATTATATTATTGGGTGCCATGGACCATATGGGTCACTCAAAAGACAAAATTCTTTATCCTTACAATATCAAATGAATAATCTAAGTTTTTGAAAACTGCTACTGGAATTTATAAAACAGGATAATAGCCAGGAGTGGGTGAGGGTTGGAAGATGGCAGAGTCCAAGTGACAGGAATACTACAGAATTCTTTATCTCTGAATTTCCAATAAACTGGCCTAATTCTGCTCTGTTTAAATTTATGTATACTATATAGCCATATGTTGAGGGATACCTGTAATAGACCTGCCACTGCATTAGGAAGTTACTATACAGATAATCCAATTAATTTTTTTAAATGAGATATTTTCAATTTATCAAGTCACAAATTTAAGAAAGTTAGTAAGTATTATGAGGTTCTGGAAGAAATTTTAAGCAAAAAAACCCCAAAATAATGTAATCTATGAAAAATGTGATAATGCATATGAGACATATAATTAAATGGAATAGAAAATTAAAGTCCACAAAATACCTGTTTGGAGGAGGTTTTGGTTTCGGCATCTTACTAAGAATAGTTGCCATCTCTTTTCTCTCATCAAAATTCTTCCACTGTTCATATAGTTTTAAAATAACCCTGATTATTTCCAAAATCTAGAAGAAAATATGTGAAAAGTTCTCAATGGCAATATCAAGCAGCATTTAATATACAAAGATACACATCATATATTAGGCATCCCTCAGAAAACAGTGAAAAGACAGAGTCTCTGTCCTTAAGTATTCAGGCTCGACAATCCTGATAAATGTGCAAGCAGTATTTTCACCACACTGCTATTTAGGCTTTTCCTTCTAGCCTCTCCTGTGTTAACATGTATGCCCTGTCCATCCTTATTCATCTCTCTGCTGCTGGTTTCCTTCTATCTGCTGATAGCTAAACCAAAGCAAAATAATGAGGTTCTAGAAACAGAGGTCTAAATCATGCAGTTCACCACTATACAGTATGCGCGTCTAAAACCAATTGTTTCAAACAATTTAATGGGAGGTAGTACACAAAAGATGTTTTAATTCTGGTAACTACTGTAAACAGGTTAAGGAGCTAAAAAATTTACAGCTACAAATGTCATATCCAGTTTCCAAATTAGCCCTTTCTTCCTCTTGTGAATATACCTAACCTTGGATTGATTTTAATGCTATCAAGAACATTTCAGCAGGCCCTGGCTGGCATAGCTCAGTGGATTGAGCGTGGGCTTGTGAACCAAAGTGTCGCAGGTTCGACTCCCAGACAGGGTACATTCCTGGGTTGCAGGCCATAACCCCCAGCAACAGCACATTTATGTTTCTCTCTCTCTCTCTCTCCCCCTCCCTCCCTCCCTTCCCTCTCCAAAAATAAATAAATAAAATCTTAAAAAAAAAAAAAAAGAACATTTCAGCAGAAAAGACAGAAAAAAGGGCAAAAACCACTTTGCCAGGAGACAGGCTGTGCCTCAGAAGTTTATGGTAGTATTTAGTGATCACTAGGTAGCTTTTAACACATTGTATGAGGGAAACGTATTTATACGTTTTACGTTGACTGGTAGTAGAGTGCGTGATAAAAACTACCCACAAACAATGTGTTAAAATAACCCTGAAAATTAGAGGCTGCTCTTCAACTGATCACACTAAAATTTTACCATTCTGTTTAAGCTAAACCAAAAGGAGAAATAGTACCTAAACAGCCAACATCAACTCTTCTTGTCAAACATATTTCTTTATTATTATTTTTTTTACCAAAAATCTTTTTAGCCTGGTAGACATCTTAAGATTTTAGGCTCATGATAAATAATATATGGCATTAACTTTTAAATGTTCACGTTTATATTCCACTAAGGGAATTTTACAGAATACCTTCTCCATATCCACAGAAAGCTCAGCAAACCACTGTCTGGCATCTTTCTGCTGTACAACACAGGCTACATGTAGGCAAGCTGGAAAGAAAAGAGACAAAGGCCCACATTTAATTACAAACATTTAATGTGTGGACTCAAACCAAAGATAAAATTTTCACTGAAAATTTTCATGTGTATTTTCCAATATTCTTTTTAAAAACTGCATAGGTTCATATAATAGTTACCACTGACTATTCCATCTTATATAGAGAGAAAAAATTACTAGATTATATTAAAATTTTTGACATCTCCATCTCTAGCTCCTCACTGTGTGCTAGGCACAGTGCAGTTGCCTTGAGAATCAGGACACATTAGAGAAGAAGTAAAATCCAATGAGGATAAGGAAGCTGAGAAGTGATCTTTCAACAGTGATACAAGATAGTGGTTAAAATATAACCAGAGCCCTGGCTGGTGTGGCTCAGTTGGTTGGAGCATTGTCCCAGAGACCAAAAGGTCACAGGTTCAATTCCCAGTCAGAGCACATACCCAGGTAGCGGGTTCCATCCCTGGTTAGGGGTTGGGGGGGCCCACAGGAGAAGACAACCAATCAATGTTTCTCTCTCTCTCTCTCTGTCTCTCTCTCTCTCTGAAAACAATGAAAAAATGTCCTTGGGTAAGGATTAAAAAAAAAAGTAACCAGAAGTCAGTGTAATGGGAAAAACTAAAAACAAAACAAAAACCCCAGCCAATCGATATACTGATAAATTTCAACAGCACAGACTATGTTTTGATATTTCAACTAAAAGTAGTGTTAATTTCCTCTGCTTTTTAAAGTATGTCAACCCTGGCTGGTGTGGCTCATTGCACTGAGTGCCAGCCTGCAAACCAAAAGGTCGCCAGTTTGATTCCCAGTCAGGGCACATGCCTGGGTTGTGGGCCAGGTCTCCAGTAGTGAGTGCACGAGAGGCAACCACACATTGATGTTTCCCTCTGTCCCTCCCTTCCCCCTCTGTCTAAAAATAAATAAATAAAATCTTTAAAAAAATAGTTATTAGGATATCAAATTAGGTGAAAACTGGGCACACTAGTACTGTGTTGTAATAACAGAGCTTAAAAAATGTAATACTAACTATATACAACTCACAAAGATAGTAAAAATGTTCAAAGACAATAATCTACATCATAATTTTGCCCAATATAATTCCTACTGAGCAGCTTGACTATCCTGATCCCACACCAGCTTGTTCAGTTATGCTTCCTGATGTGGTCATACATATATGACTTTGCTTAGGATGACATTCTAGGCAAACAGTGATTCAAATGTGAACTGACACAGTGGCTGCCCCAAGTCAAACAAAGCTATAAAGTACAGCCTATGTCCAGGAGGGATTTAGAGGCAAAAAGACTGAAATTATAGTAATAGGTAATTAAAACACAGTGGAAAACACCATGATAATGGGTTATGTAGGGTACATTAGAGATAGAAGAGACATCCTAAACCCAGCATGAGATGATATTGGGAGTTTTGCTGAGGTGACGCTGTTCCTAGAAAGGTGAAATCTGAGCCAAGTCTTAAAAGATTAAAAAAATAAAAGTGGAAACAGAGAGTGGTAGGCACATAACTGGTAAAAAGAAGCTACAGACTTTATCCAAAAATTAACAGAAGCACTTAAAAGTTTTAATTGGGGGACAAATCATGCATGGATCACAGTTTCTCTCTACCTTGGCACTGCCGACATTGTGGGCTGGGCAACTCTTTGAAACTGGGTAGTATACTATAGGATACTTAGTAGCATCCCTGGCTTCTACCCACTAGATGCCAGTGGCATCCACCATTGCTTTGACAACCAAAACCACTGCCAAATATCCCAAGGAACAATTATCTCTACTTGAGAACCACTAGCCTAGCTCAAATGTAAAGGATAGGTTGGCTCTCCAAGAACAGGGACACTGGAGGCCTATTGGTCAGGAAGTAGACTATGGTGGTAACCTGAACAGAAACGGGATGATGGCTATGAGATTACTAAAGGTATTGGTTACCAATACTCAACAATAGGTATTGGTTACTAACTAGATGGAGGAACTGAGGGAGATGAAAGAGGCTAACTGCTCCGTTTCCAAATAAAGTAACTAACTACTGCTATGCACCAAGCTAGTATAGACATTAAAAGGAGCACATTTGGGGGCAAAATAGTGTGCCCAGTCCTGTTCATGAGTCTGAGGTGCCAGTGAGATGCCAAGGCAGAGTGACATATAGAACTGCTCAGGAGCAAGATCTTGGTTAAATGAAGACATTTAAATGTTTCAAAACCTAAGAAATAGAAGCCACAGGCCTCAGTGAGACTACCCAGGAAGAATGAAGACAGGAGAAATGGCAAAGATGTGGCACATGGCCTGATATTCCCTCTTTTCTATCCATGCAGATCCCAGCTTTCCTTCCCACTGAACCTAGATGCCACTTTAGAATCCTTCCAAATATAGTGCTTTCATGGAGCCTCCAGTACTACAAAAATATAACTCATGCACCACCCCTAATGTAAGGATAAGAAATATTAACATTTAAGGACTAATTGAAAAAAGAGAAGACTGTAAGTCTGGACTGGTAAAGTATGGGGGAGAGGGATCAAGAGGATAGAATCATGGATACCAACAGAAAAAAAGAACAGGAATGAAAAGTAGTAAGTGCCCCTCCACCCCAAAGTATTAAGTGCCTAATATATGGCAGAAAATATTTGGTGCTCTATAAGGTATCTCATGTAATTTTTGTAACAATTCTGTATGGAGTTGTTAGTATCCCCCACATTTTAGAATCAAGGAAACAAATTCAGGAAGTTTAGATAACTTCCCCACAATTATAAAGGAAGCAAAGTTTAAACCTTGGATCATCTGATTCCAAAGACTGTGTTCTAACCCATTATAGTACTGCTTTCCACAGGTAAAAATGGCAGCTAACCTCTCCCCCAAAAAGGGCAATAAGGACCTCAGAGGCTCCTTTACTCAACCTCTAAGGACTTTTATTAGACTCATGAAGGAAGGGCCCAGTTATTTCATATAAGTTACAATACTAGCAGGCTTAATTCTGAACTTCTTCCTCTAGATAAACACTCTCCAAGGCTCTGGAGAGTGTTTATTATTTTAAACAAATTTTTAAAAACGTACCAAAAAAGGGGAACAGAGGTATGATAATTCTGATTTGTGACAGTTGCAGCTCATATCATTGAAAGCTTACATGCAGGGATTAGTCTATTACTTTATGAAACATAAAAACATAAAGTACAACAGGGTGAAATTCCTTTTAGGATGACCTAAACAGGTTTATGACAATTTCACTAGTAAAGATAACTCACACTTACATACCTAAAGCTATCATGAAAGGAGGATACAGTAGGCAAAGGTCCGTTCTGTAGGTATCATTCACTATCCTCCTATAGAAATGTAAATCATATTATTACTGAAAGCAGAACTACCTCATCTGATTGTACATTTTGCTCCAGAGAGGGCCGTATTTCCCATCTTTGCACATATCATTTCTCTTATATTAATGAGGCACAGATATAAAGGTGAAAACATCAAGGAAAAAGATGGATACATAAATGATTCAATAAATAAGCATATTTTAATGAATAAAATTACAGCTAAATGTTTTAAAATTTAAAACCTCATCATAAATTTTAAACAGATTTTTTCTAATTTGTCAAAAATTAGAAAATTATATAGGAAACCAGAAATCATACAATGGATTAATATGTATGTTGAATACCACCAAAAAGTATTCTGATAAAGATAAATTGTCTCCTTATGTAAACAGTCTGTTTTTCATAATAATCAACTTGAATGGGAATATTCATCAAATAGATAATTTAAAAATCCTTATCATTTTAGCATTTGTACCAATATAGTTATTAAAATTCAACAAGTAGATATTTTGTTCAACATCAAATATCTTGGGACACTACTTTAATTACTTTAAAAATACTAAACTTAATATTTACTTGTCAATCTTCCTAGCTAATAACAAGTTACACTATGAATAACTTCTGTTCTAATTACCATGCAAGGGGAAGCAACATGTCTTCTTGGCCCATGTCCTGCACATACTGGAGCAAAGGTCTATAGGGATGATACACTATCAAGCAACAATCCTAGAAACAGTTTAAAAGATGTGTATGTATAAAAACAGATTTATTACAACACAAAGAAAACTCATCATTACCCAACTGATTTGTAATTGTATATTCATATGTATTTCTCTAACTCATGCTCGCTTCCCTCTTATTTTCTTAAGAAAGCAGTATGGCAGCCCTAAACTCTACTATAATAGTGAAGGCATTGCTCTCTCGGGAATATACCTTGGTAAATCGGTTGGCAGTCAGTCAGCATCCATTCCCTTAGAGACTCAAAGTGTCACATCTGCAACACACTGAAACCTCTTATTAGCCTATAAATCCATAATTCCCAACTGGAGGAGCAGAATTCTGCCAAAGACATAATCTACCTTTAAATAACACCACACACATACACAAATTGTGCAAATAATTGACAGTGGTTCAATGCCCTGACTAGTTTGCTTGTAATCCTTTTATTATAGTTACTAGAACAGAAAAATATTTCCATCCTAAGTAGGATATACAAATTATTTTACAGGCTTTCAAGAGGATACACATGATGATGCTACTAGGTACTATGATTTCACCACCATGTATCACTTGTATGGTTTTAAAATGCACCTCCCTACAAATAATTTCTTTAAAAAACTCTGACTTCACTAAATTTGAAAATAAGTTTTACTCTATTAATCACAGAGAAGACGTATACTTACCATTAGTTCTAAAAGATAGAATTCACATTCTAATATCTGTTTAAAAAGATTATAAATGTCAATATGAAACCAAATTAGATGAGTCTATTTAGTCTAACAATTTATAGACATAGTAATTTATCACAAATTTTTACTAAAAACTTTTTAAAATGAAGAAAATAAAAACAGTAATTTATAACAGAATTAACATATACAATAAAATTACTTTTTATTACTATAATGATTGAAACTGTGATTATAAAGCATTTTAATCCTTAAAAAGGCCAGCCTTTTTTAAAGGCTGCTCATATATAAGGCTGCTCACAATAAAAATGCTCATATAAAGCATACTTATTTTTATTTAAAACATCCTGTATAAACTTCAGATTTTCCAATATACTTTCCACTCAACAAACGCAAAAATGCAATTATCTTAAATGTTATTCTTATTATAAATCAGTAAAAGGAAAGAAATACTAAAAAATGAAACCAAAAATTACAAGTTAAATGGAATGAAGAAATCCCTTACAAGGCGGAAGAACATGTCTATTAAAATGTCAACAGAGGGCCCAGGCTGGCGTAGCTCAGTGGATTGAGCGCGGGCTGGGAACCAAAGTGTCCCAGGTTCGATTCCCAGCCAGGGTACTTTCCTGGGTTGCAGGCCATAACCCCCAGCAACCGCACATTGATGTCTCTCTCTCTCTCTTTCCCTCCATAAAAATAAATAAATAAAATCTTTAAAAAAAACACCCAAAAACAAAACTGTCCGCGAAGAAAAATCTTAGGGGGCGGAAAAAAAAGTCAATAGAGCCCTGGCTGGTGTGGCTCAGTGGATCGAGTGCTAGCCCGCGAACTGAAAGGTTGCTGGTTCAATTCCCAGTCAGGGCACAGGCCTGGGTTGCAGGTCAGGTCCCCAGCTGGGGGTGCACAAGAGGCAAGCACACACTAATGTTTCTCTCCCTCCCTTTCTCCCTCCCTTTCTCTCTCTAAAACTCAATAAATAAAACCTTTAAAAAATAAAATGTCAATAGAGATGATCTTCTAAAACAATATAAAATTTCAAATATGGTTTTCATACTATTCCATTATAGCAGCTTCAACTGCACATCAGTATCACCTGGGAGCTTTTAGAAAATACCAGTCTCCAGGCCTCAAGCCTAAAAATTCTCATTTAGTTGGTCTGTAGAGGTCCTGACATGGTATCATCAAGTTCCAAAAGTGATTTAATGAACACCCAAGGTCATATAACCACTTATCTTTAAAAATAGGAGAAGCAATTAACTGTGATTTCTTTAAAGTCTATATTGTAGTATTCAAAACTGCCATTTCTAGACTATTCAATTTAATATAAAACAGAACGAATCTATGTGCAACTTTCACAAATAGTTTTACTTTATACAAGATACTTACATGGTTCATCCTATAAGGAAATTCCTTTGGAAAGGCATATGAAAATCTAGTTTTTACTGCAGAAAACAAAAAACAACTTAAACTGAGAAAATGAGAAAGTGAATTAACCCCAAATTTCTTTAATACTGTGTAGAATATTAGAGGTAGTGCTAAATCATTTTTATTTTTAGTAAGGTGCCTGGAGATACTTAGAAATCCAGATTATTTTGTTTGCAGGTGAGGAGAATGAGTGGCTGGAACCCCAGACCCCCATTTACATACAATACAGAGCCTTAATTACATGTTTAATATATTAAGACTCTGCAACTTAAAAAATAAAAGAATTGGAAAAAAAATCACTGGGTTTTATTATCTCTAACATCTTCCCAGTTCTAGAACAGTCTCTTCTTTATCGCAATTTCCATACAATTCTCACACAACTGGACAAAACACAGAAAGTGTTGGTCATAAAGATAAAACATATAATTTTTTTTAGGAATAATTCTTTATACAAAATTTTTAAAGCAATAACTTGCACCTGGTAATTTAGCTTAGAAGGAATATGTTCACAAATATATATGTATATGTATATACATATATATGCATATATTTGTGAACTATATATATAAATATAATTAAAAGGATAATAAAACCAAAAAATGTTTGAGTGTTTATCTCTGTGATTTAGGGAGTTTTACTAATCTGTACTTTCTAAACTTTTTATAATAAATAGGTGTTTATCAAAAGACATATTTTAACAAAAGCATGAATAAATGTACAAAGGTCTCTAGGACTTTTTTCTTACCACACATAAACCCATACACAGTTACTACTATTCTTAATAACTAAGTACAAATGAGAAAGCTATTAGTTATTAACCTTCCATCTCCTCGAAATGCTATGGGTATATACCTTTAAGTACTATTTGACATAACTGTGCTCGAATCATCAGATACACCATTTTATTCAATCAAGTTTATTCACAGGTTTTAGAGGATGTTCTGTGATCCCTTCCATTTGTACAGCTTAAGTGACCTCATTGAGACAAAAAAAATTTTCATTTATTTTATGTACTGTATTTTGTAAATTGAGTATCCTAACCACTAATTTAGATAGGTAACATCCGCCAAAATTTGAAACCGAAACCATTTGAACTCGACACTAGGAAAGTTATACTTAATCTTTCCTTTCCTCTCCTCCCTTTCTCCATTAAGGTTTCGGACTTTTACAAATTCTTTGATGTAAATAAGATGTAAAGTGTACAAGTAAAACAAGTACTTACATAGTGGTACCTAATTGATGAGGTAAAATGATCTCTATAAATAAAACAAATTTACACCTCTCACCCCTGGACTTTGACACCTGACTTACTGAGATTAAATTTACATGATGCTTTTGATTTTCTTCTAGCCTGGAGGAAAATGTATCCTCCTCTCTTTTGCTACCTATACCATTTGTGAATTTACTTTTATCTACTCAATTGATAGTCACTACTTTCCTTTATCCTTTAGCACCTCTAACCATTTCTCCACCAGTAAATCTGTCCCATCACTTACTAAATATGCTCAAATTTCCCTTAAAAACAAAGACAAATAAAACCCCTACCAAATTATACTCCTGTTGGTTTTCTTAAGTGGACTTTGTTTTTTTTAGAACAGTTTTAAATTTATAGAAAAAAAACAGAAGATACGAGTTCTCATATACTCCCTGTTAAGGAATGAATGTCTATGTCCCCCAAAAGTTGGAATGTGAAGCCCTAAACCCCATGTGATGTTATTTGGAGGTGAGGTCATGAGGGGGGACTCCCACGATGGGATTCTTCTCATAAGAAGAGGAAGAGAAATCAGTGCTTTCTCCTCTCTCTGCCATGTAAGAACACTATGGGAAGTAGCTGTCTGCAAGCCAAGAAACAAATTATGTCTGAACAAAGAACTGACCAAGGTAGGCACTTTGATCTTGAACTTTCCAGCCTCCAGAACTGTAAGAAATAGTCTATGGTATATTGTTATAGCAGCTCAAGTAGACTAAGACACCCCATCACCCAGTTTCACCAGTTATTAACATCTTACATTAGAATGATACACTTGTTATCATTAATGAACCTATATATACATTATTATTAACTGAAGTCCATAGTTTATTCAGATCTTCTTAGTTTTAACCTACTGTCCTTTTTCTGTTCCAGGCTCTCATCCAGAACACAACATTCCATACCTCCATACCTCCTTAGATTCCACTTGGCTGTGACAGTTTTCCAGACTTTCCTTGTTTTTGATGACTTTGATAGTTTTTAGAATATTAGTCAAGTATTTTGTAGGTTTACCCTCCACTAGAATCTGTCTGATGTTTATCTAATGGTTAGACTGGGGTTTTGGGTTTTTGGAAGGAAGACCACAGAGGTAAAGTGCCATTTCATCAGAATACATCAAATGTACACACCATTAATGTGATTTATCACTATTAATATTGACTTTAATCATCCAGCTGGGGTAGTGTCTGTCAGGTTTCTCCATTGTAAAATTACCTGCCCTGCCCACTTTTCATAATGTATGCATTAGAAGGAAGTCACTATATGCACAGCCAACACCTAAGGAATGGATATTTATGCTTCCTATACTTAAGGGTGGACTTAGCTACATAAAGTATTTTAAATTCTACATGGGAGGAATTGTCTCTTCTCCCCCATTTATTTAATCATTTGTATCAGTACAAACTCACGGGTATTTATTTTGCACTTTGGGTTATAATCCAATATTAAGTTTTTTTATTTTGTTGCTGAAATTCTTCCAGCTTTGGCCACTGAGAGCTCTTTCAGTTGGATTGTGTGTCTCTTTAACATATCCCAATTAATGTAGGCTTTCAGTTTGGTTTTAAATACTTCCTTACTTACTGGCACTATAAGATACTCTAGGTCTATCTTGTATTTTTCCTGCCTCAGTCCTAGAATCAGCCATCTCTTCAAGGATCTCTAGCTCCTTTTATTAGAGAATGTTATTAAACACAAAGATTGGAGTACCAGGTAAACTCATTGCTTATAGAACCTCTTAACTGACAAAGCCCCCCCCCCACACACACTCATTCACAAACACATAAATCTATGTATCGATACATTTTACAAGTATCTATGTAAAGGTAAATGCAGTTCATACTGATGTCTCTAACCCTAACTGATGACCACATTGATCATTCTGGTCTCCTCTCCTTGCTTATCTGTAAATTCTCATTCTAGCAATGGGAAACCTAGCTCTTAACATCTGCTATCTATTTGCCATGAATATATCCATGTAGTGGAATTGTTAACTTCACCATACATTTGTAGCAGTATCAGAATTGTTAACAGGTTACAATGCTTATGTACACTTCCTTTTTGCGTTTAGTCTTACAGACTAGACTCATTTCCAAAGTTAGGTAAGCAACTCCCCTCTCCAACCCTCTTCACTGAGGTCCTTACATATATTTATAATATAGTTAGATTCTCCTTTTCTCAGAATCAACTCACCTCTTAATTCTTTGTTAACTGATTTCTACCCCCACCCCATAGTGTCTAATGACATCATGTTCTCCCTCGAACATCACAAATCCAAAGGTCTGGCTTTTTTCTTTGGAACACATCTATGCAGCACAAGACACTATGCAACCCTATCTCTTTCTTAAAATTTATCAACTCCTAAATTTCTATCACTGGCTTCACATTTCTAAGAGTATATTGTACTGATACATTTACACCTGATATGTCTAAGATTAAATTTACTTCTTTTCAGAACCCACTTATTCTCTTCTCCTGGTACTACCTTTACCTTCTCAATGCTCAGGCATGAAACCTCAAAAATAATTTTTGATTCCTCCTTATTTTTTTAAGTATATTTTATCGATTATGCTATTACAGCTGTCCCACTTTCCCCTTCACCCCCCTCCACATACTACCCCCCTTCTCTCCAGAAGAACTCCCCTTAGTTCCTGTCCATTGGTCATGAGTGTAAGTTCTTTGGCTTCTCCATTTCCTACACTATTCTTAACCTCGCCCTGTCTATTTTGTACCTACCATTTAGGCTGCTTAATCCCTGTACCTTTTCCCCCATTCTTCCCCTTCCCTCTCCCAACCCTCCTAATGACCTCCATACCTATAATTCTGTTCCTGTTCTGATTGCTTGCTTAGTTTATTTTTTTTTATTTTATTTTTTTAGATTCAGTTGTTGATAGTTAATTTGTTGCCTTTTTTAATGTTCATGGTTTTGACCTTTTTGTTAAATAAGGCCCTTTAACATTTCATGTAATAATGGCTTGGTGATGATGAACTCCTCTAGCTTAACCTTGTCTGGGAAGCACTTTCATCTGCCTGCCCTTCAATTCTAAATGATAGTTCTGCTGGATAGTGTAATCTTGGTTGTAGGTCCTTGCTTTTCATCACTTTGAATACTTCTTGCCAGTCCCTTTTTGCCTGCAAAGTTTCCTTTGAGAAATCAGCTGACAGTCTTACGGGAACTCCTTTGTAGGTAATTCTGTTTTCCTCTTGCTGCTCTTAAATCCTTTCTTTTCAAAAGTCGTACTGACTCTATCCTTCAAATCTTGCTTGCTTGTTCTTGCTGACTGTCAAAATGTTATTTTAAGCCTTTATTAGTGCTCACCTGGATTACTTCAATAACTTAAAATAATCTTTTTCCACCTTAAAACTGTTAGCTTTTATTTCTCATAGCACCTGGCAGAGACAGCATTCACTAGTTTGCAGTTTTATATATATTCATGGTAAAATGCATCTTACATAGCATTTACCATCTTTAACCATTTTTAAGTATACAGTTCAATAGTATTAAGTACATTCACACTGTTGTGCAACCATAACCACAGTTCATCTCCAGAACCCTTTTCATCTGGCAACACTGCAACTCTACACTCATTAAACAATTACTGCCATTTTACCCTCCCTCTGGCCCCTGGCAACCACCCTTCTACTTTCTATCTCTACTAATTTGATTATTCTAGGCACCTAATAAAAGGGGACTCATATAATATTTATCTTTTTGTGATTAGTTTATTTCTCTTATAATGTCCACAAAGTTAAGCCACATTGTAACATGTGAAAAACCTCAATTATGTGTCTAGTTCAATTCTTGCTCTCCCTCAATTCATCTGACATAATTCTGCCAGATTCACAATCCTGATGCACAATTCTAGAATCACCCTCATGTGGAAAATAAAGCTTTCAAAGGTACCACCACTGCTAACAATGAAATGCAGATTCCTTAACAAGGTATTCCATTACCTGGCATTAGCCAGATAAGGCATTCCCTACTACTTCCTTATTCAACATTCACTGAATGAAAATTATTAGTTTTCTCTATTTTTGACCAAACTGTTCAATGCCTCTAGATTGTTTTTCCCCTGTATTCTTCCAGGTTCAAATTTTATCTTTCTTTACTAAATTCTACTTAAGCCTTTCTGGATTCATCTAAAAAACGATCTTTTCAAAATCAAATCATTCACTGAATTCTCTGTAAGTCTCTTGTGCCAATTATTTTCTTCTGTATTAATATTTACATAGCATGTCTTACTCTTGCCTTCTAGTTCCAGGTATTTATCTTTGTGTCCACCCCTGCATGCAGTATGGTATTTTCCAGTGACCATGATGCTGCTGTTCATGATACAGCAGTCACTAAAGTTCAATGAGTATTATGGGCTAAATTGTATGTCCCCCCTCCCCACAAGTCCATATATTGAAGCCCTAACCCGCTATGTGATTGTATTTGGATAGGGCCTTTAAAGAGGTAATTAAGCATAAGTGAGGCCATAAGGTTGAGGCCCTAATTCAATAGTACTGGTGTCCATTTAAGAGAAGAGACACTACGGGTACAGGTGCACAGAAAAAGGGCCATGTGAGAACACAGCAAGAAAGTGGCCATCTGCAAGCCAGGGAGAGAGGCTTCAGGAGAAACCGATTTTTTGATATCTTGATCTTGGACTTCCAGTGTCCAGAACTGTGAGTAAATAAATTTCTGTTGTTTAAACCACTCAGTCTCTGACATTTTGTTATGGTCGCCCCAGCAAATTAATTCACTGAACAAGGCACTGTTTGAAAAGCTTTATCATTATTCACTCATTTGATCCTCTCAAAAGCCCTATGACATAGATATTATTAACATCCTCATCTGGAAGATGAGGAAACTGGGACACAAAGAGATTATATTTTGCTCAACTTGTCACATAGCACTGGAGCTGAAATTTAAAACCTAAGTTGTCAGGGCCTATATAATACACTATAAAATTTATGAAATAAAGAAAATAGTTTACTATAAAAATCTCTATTCATTGAAAACCAAACACTCTTGTGAATATATCTTTAAGTTTTTGCATGAGAAACAAACAAATCTTGGTAATAGGTATCTTACATACTTCTAAAAACGTTGGAAAGCAGAGACTAATAATGTAAGAAGAAAATAAGGCCCTTAAAAAATAATTTGATTCTCCAGAGGAATTCAATGCTTCATCAATGTCTATATTACGTTCTGGGGCATTAGTATATTACACTCTGGGGCAAAACTACTCTTCCGTCCTCAAAAAAAATAAGATATGGCACAGTAAAGATTAAATTAGATTTTACACTCTTCTCAGAAAGGGTAATGGCCCCAAAATATAAAATTATCCTGGCTCACAAACTTAAAACACAAAAGCATTCTTCTGCCTCTTCTATGTAAGACCACAGAAATAAAAACAAATAAATAAATAATCTAATTTGCTTTTGGTAAGTGATGCCTTTTTGTTTAACCTATGAAGATGGGGCATAATACAATGTTAATGACTTTGTATATAATATTTTACAACTGTTACTTTACAATGTCATTTCCTTTATTGTCATAACTCACAGGCAACTAAACCACATCTTTTTACAAAAGAACTAAGGCCAAAATGTAAAGCAACTTGTTCAAGGTTATGTACCTGCTATTTAGTGACAGAACAATTAGCTGTCTTGACTAAAGTCAGCATTTTTTGCCTGCACCATGTTTTTGAATATGGAGGGAAAATACATCATTCTCATCAAAGACATACATTACAGTAGCTAAAGAAATAGTTTACTCCACCCAGAAGAATGACACAAAGGCTAGTCGTTAGGAAGCAATAAAATACAATAAAATTGGGAAATAATTTTAATTTAATCTTATGAAATTAAGAACCACTGAGTCAATGTTTTTGGACCATTAGTCACTACCCATTTTTTAACATTAAAAGTAGTCTTAGTCTTAATACTATAAGTAGTTTTAAAAACTCTGTATTTTATTTTTTAGTCAAATTCATAGCCATAAATGTGACCTCAGATTTATTTTTTATCTATTTTCTTATTGCTTGCGCTATTAGTTTTCCCCTCTTTTTCTCCCTTTTCCCACCTCTCCCCTACCTCAGTCAATCCCTGTGTTGTTGTCCATATCCATGGGCCATGCAAAAATGTTCTTTGGTTAATCCCTTTAACCTCTTTCATCCAGTTCTAGCCCCCAACCCAACAGCTATCAGTCTATTCCATGTATTTATGCTTCTGTTGACCTCAGGAGATTTAATAAACCCAACTAATCTGTCGCAGGTCTTCTAAACTGAAAAACATTTGTGCTGCATGGAGTTTTCCTTCGAATTACATCCGTTAAGTAGGATACACTTTTTGCACTTACATACAGAAGTAGCAGCAGAAATCAATCTTGTATTTGAGACTACTCCAAACTCCTAGAGGAAGAAAAGTGGGTAAGATCGGGTACACAGAAACCCAATGAACCTAAAGGTATCTGAGGTCTATTCAAAACAGAATTTCCTGAATTTCCCCCAGTGATTATATAGTCTTCTACCTGTTTGAGGTATGATGTACTTAAACCTCTAAATGTATTACTTTTCCTTAAAACTGCTACAAGTTAAGACAGGTGTTTAAATAATGTTATAATTTAACATCACTGACAGGTACCAAATTAGAAACCAAGCCTTAAAGTGACATGATAGTTTTCTGCACTCAAATTAGTTTCTAAGGAGATTTTTTTAGATTCTACACTTAACTGCAAGAATATTAAGTATGCTGTCTGTTCAATTGGACCCACACTAACAGAAATAACTCATGTCATTTAATAAAACAACTGAATTTCCAAAGAAGATAAACTTTAATATCAGCAAAAGAACTAAAAAATACTGCACAATTATTCTTCTCGGAACAGGAAGAGAAGAATATAATAGTATAAAATTTTCAATGTCAGTTCCCATTTCCTCTTTGAACTTAATATGCCACCAGTGTAAAAATGACTAAAATTTACGAGGTGATCCACCTTACATAAATTTCCTTTTAATCTGATTAACCTACCAAGATTACTAAAGCCTTCATTTCATTTTAAAACAGAAAAATTAAGAATTCATTCCTTATTCCATAAAAGAAACTAAGCTAAATATAATCTACTCAATACCTTCAACCTATATCCTTATCCTTGGGGAAAGGGGTGGCAGGGGCACATATGTGTGTATACATAGGACCCGGCACAAATAACACCCCTCTTTTTATTACAAAATCATAAGCATGTAATTCTGTAAGGTAACATTACACTCAAGCACACCATATGATATTTTAGGTGAAATGTTCAAATTAAAACTATAAATTATTACAGCCATATTATTACCCTACCAACTACACTCAAACAGGCCTTAGTTCTGCCAGATCCTGTATATCTATATTCACATTTAAACCTCAAACTATAAAAACTAAAACTAAAAAGTAAACACCTGATGCCCAAGCTGGTGTGACCAGGTGGATTAAGTGCTGGCCTGTGAACCAAAGAGTTGCTGGTTCAATTCCCAATCAGGGCACATGCCTGGGTTGCAGGCCAGGTCAGGTCCCCAGTCGGGTGGTGTGTGAGAGGCATCCACACATTGATGTTTCTCTCCCTTTCTTTCTCCCTCCCTTGCCCTCTGTCCAAAATAAATAAATAAAATCTTAAAAAAAAAAAAAGTAAACACCTGAGACATAGTACTATTTCCATAAACGTAATTCCTACACCACTGGATAAAATGGAAAGATTTGGTCATAGTTAGAGTTAATAAAAAAGTAGCGCTATAACCAACTATGAAAAGATATATTTTTTTCTAGGAAGAATTTTTAATCCAAAATTCTTAAAGTGAAAACTTTCACCCAATAAATGATAATGTAAAACAGGATTCTACTTAGAAAATCATACAACAAAAAAATACTAAAAAATTAGACAAGTTAAAATCCCCAAGTTTGCCCTAGCTGGTATAGCTCAGTGGACTGAGCACGGGCCTATGAAGCAATCGTCTGATTCCCAGTCAGGGCACATGCCTGGGCTGTGGGTCAAGTTCCCAGTAGGGAGTGTGCAAGAGGTCACCACATATCGATGTTTCCCTCCCTCTCCTTCTCCTTTCCTTCCCCTCTCTCTAAAATTAAATAGATAAATAAATAATCTAAAAAATAAAATAAAATCCCCAAGTTAATCTGTAAGAGAAGTATATGAACTGGAAAAGGAACCAATTATATGGTCATGGAAGATGATGTGACTTTGGGTGGTGAGCACAGAATGCAATATACAAATTATGTATCATAGAAATGTGCACCTGAAACCTATATGACCCTATGAACCAAATGTCATCCCAATAAATAATTAAAACAGTTTATAAAAATTTTGTCTAGGTTCCCATACTGGCTGTGCTTCAGATACATAAAATTACATGGTAATATTTGGAAAAACCACCTCCATAATACAAGACCTTTACAAACATTTTGTTTTCTATTAAAGAACTTAACAGCAAAGCTGGTTCTGCCTCCTTAAACTATCACTTACAATTAAAAACCCCAAAACCTCTAGAAAGCTTGTCTTAATTTCTAGAGTCATCTCTCATTATTTTTGGTAATAGGTAAGAAAAATGTTATAAATAATCCTAGATAATGGCTAAAACAAAATTCAAAATGAGTATCAAAAAGAATGTAAACTTACTAGATTAAAATTACCTTCAATTTTCAAGAATACAAATTACTATTCTAAAGACAAGCTAAAAATAGAAACATAAGTATCATAATACTAAAACTGCATAGATTATTTTTTGTAAAGATTTTTATTTATTTATTTTCAGACAGAGGGGAAGGGAGGGAGAAGAGGCAGAGCAACACCAATGTATGGTTGCCTCTCACTCGCCCCCTACTGGGGACCTGGCCTGCAACCCAGGCATGTACCCTGACTGGGAATTGAACCAGCAACACTTTGGTTTGCAGCCAGAGCTCAATCTGCTGAGCCACACCAGCCAGGGCTGCGTGGATTATTATGTAACCCAGTCAATATAGCTACTATTGCCTGGATTTTACCTGAGCCCTCTCAAAAATACTGAAAAGGTAAAGGTGAACAGAGATTTGGTTTTAGCTGCAAATTGCCATCTCTCTCCCTCACCTAATTTCTATATTCTTATTGCCAAAATGATTCCTCATTAGAATCTACATAGGTAGGGCCACCCCCAATCCTTGACTTCCCTCTTGCTTTCCCTATGGCTGGGTAGGCAGCCAATCATCAGGAGGTAGGGAGGGAAGATAGGACATAGAAAGCAAATGGAGGAGGAGGGACATTGTCCAGTTACAGGAAAAATCTGTAGCAGTTACAAACTACTACTTAGTGCCAAAATAATAAATATCTTAGAAGGAATACAGCAAAGCAGTTAAGTGCATGGGATTAGGAGCTAGACCCATAGGGTTCAAATACTGAATTTGATGCTTACCAGCTCCATGATCTTAGGGAAGTTTCTCAACCTCTGTGGCTCACTTTCCTCATTTATATATCTATATGTCTCTTTGTTATGAAAATTAAGTCAGTTATAGTTTTTTTTAAAGATTTTTTATTTATTTATTTTTAGAGAGAAGGGAAGGGAGGGAGAAAGAGGGAGATAAACATTGGCTTGCAACCCAGGCATGTGCCCTGACTGAGAATTGAATTGACTCAACCTTTTGGTTTGCAGGCCAGGGCTCAATCCACTGAGCCATACCAGCCAGGGCCAGTTATAGTTGTAAAAGTACTTAAAATAGCACTTTATACATAGTAAGGTCTGTGTGTTTGTTAAATGAATAAAAGATATGTGAATAATTTCATGCAAATTTCAGTATTTTGCATAAATCACCATCTGTTATTATTTTTACACAGGTAATCTGAAAACTGGGGCAAATTTGCCAACTCACATTGACTATACTTTAATGAAAAACAGAAAATTATTGAATACCTCTACTTTGGATGCCAAAAACACACATGTAGGAGCCATTAATACAGGATCTATACTTTTCAGAGAATACCTAAGAAACAATAAAACAAAGTTAAATGTAGAAAACACACACTGGAAAAAAAAATCAAGATAACTCTATGGCAAGCACATGATTCAACTATACTAAGGTTCATCAAAATTAGATAAGAGTTTCAAATAAGTATAGCATGCCCAAAATAAAACAGTCCTACCTGGCATAGAATCTCTTGAAATAGACTGTAGCAGTGGCAATAACTTGTTGTCTTAATTTAAGATGTTCACCTAATGCTTGGATAACTAAAAGAAAAATAAAGTTTTAAATGTATCTCCTGGTATCATTATAATATAAACACTGAACAATAAGTTCCATGTGGCTAAATCATAATTACATTCATTTTTAACACAGAGAAAAACCTACATATGTTAGAGACCTCTAGTTGGATCACAGTACTAATACGAGAATTTACAAATTTGTTTTAAAATATAGATATGCATAAACAACAAAAAATAGAAATTGCCCCACAACAAACACTACTGTTGTATTAAGGAGGGTGAATGATAGGCATTTCTCCTCTACCTTCTAAGAATTTTCAATGCCTTTCACATTATCTTTAGAATATAAAAAGAAAATATTTAACACCTATCAAATTCACTTGACTGATTTATAAAGTTTATTTAAAAATCCTTAATGAATTTTCACAACAACAGAGAGGTAGGTTTGCAGAAGAGTAAACTGAAGGTTAGAAAGACCATGTGACAAAGCCACCATGTGGCAGGACAAGGATCTTCTGCCTCTAAACCCCTTTCCCTCAAAGCAAACTTGTAAGATAGCACTGCTCAATATAGCATGTCAAGCCAAAGAGTCGTTTATCCTCAAAGTAATCTTCTTTAGCCAATCTTAAATTGAATTTAATAATGCATGATACTTATAAATATTAATGACTATTTTGAAACTGTCTTGAATGTCTCTGACATTAAGATTTAAAAATAACTTTAGATCACTTAAAAAGATTAAATGAATATGAGTTGTAAAAAGACTACATGTGTAAATAAAAATGTTAAATAGGTAAAATGGATAGGCTTTTGAACATTTCACATTCAAAAGTTTTGTAGGGTGTTGGGGAAGGAGGAGATCTTCAATGTTTATTTTAAAACAAAGTTCTTGAATTTAAAAGAAAATAATACAAATAAAAATGTTAAGTAGGGGCTAAAACAGCTTATCACACATTACCAAACAAAAATATTTTAGTTCAGAGTTAATCAACAGTATCATTTCAACCAATTTTTTAAAAAGTTTACCATTTGTAAAAAATATTTGTAATTTCCAATATTCTTCTTCTGAGAGAAACTTTAAATCCTTTTGGCGTTCCTTCAACAGATCTTGTTTATCCAAAATCCATTGCAAACTGGAAGAAGCAAAGATGTCAAAACATGTTATAGAAAATCAAATAACAAAGTTATAGAAAGCATTCTAATATTGAACAAGTTATTAACATTCTGAGAAATACAAAGTACACATAACCTTGAAAGACAGTATTTTCCACATTTATTGAAACTCCAACACTGAGAAATATCTCACTAGTAAGTGTAAGTTGCCCTGAAAAAAAAATCTACTATAATTTCTATCTTCATTCTCAGTCTGTCACTAGCTTTACTGTATTTCATTGATTCTAAGATTCTGATATTAACATGCATCTTACAATCGGTGATGCCTTAGCCTTTTAACTGGCAGCATGTTTTTTCTTGCTTAGTGATATATAAAATAACGGTGAAATTATTTGGCACCAATCAATGGTGCCCTGAATTTGAGATATATCTTTCTCAGTTGTTCATGGGTAACTAAAGCACTTAATTTCCCTACCTCACAATTCCAATCACTTTAAAAGCTCCTTCAGAATTTATTCACTGATAGCCTCCTTCCTCCTGCCTGTCTACTATTTTTAATCGAAGATATGAAATTGACATGATCCTCCAAAAAACTACTCTGCAACTTTCTTCTGTCACTCAGTATGTAATGGAAATTCTTTTGTCAATGAATGTATTATTCAGCATCCTTTTAAATTGCTGCACAGCATTATGGATGAATTATTTAGCTAATCCCTATTGATAGGTATGTAGGTTATTTTTTTTACCATTACAAGTAATACTTCAACAAATATCTTTCTCATTTATCCTTATATATTTGATTAATAACATATTTAGAATAATTTCCTAGATCAGATGGGTCAATTTTGCTGGTATCTTTGATATAAATGGTCATTTAAGTTCCATTAAAAGTTATACCAATTTCCATTTCTATTAAGAATACATGGGTATGTCTTAAAATATTTAACCCTATGGGTTATTGCCAATCTTTTAAATAATTTACAATTTAAAGACAAATTAGTATCTTATCATTTTTTAAGTGTACATCTGAAGTTAAACATTTCCCATGCCTTTATTGGCCAAATACAGTTCTTTTGTACATTATAATTCTAATATTAGATCATTTTTCTAATGATAGTCATATTTTTTGTGTTTAAGAGATTCTTCTGATCTCAAATTTCTATATTATGGATAATAAATATTTTTCAAATATGCTGCAAACATTTCTCAAGTTTAGCATGATCTCTCAGTATTTAGTTATATGTAATACAGAAATCTCAATCACTTATATATCGAAATCTACCCATATTTTATTGACTTTATGCTTGTCATGCATGAGAAGGCCTCCCCTGACACAAAATTTTTAATATGTATACACACACATTTACTTATATTTTCTAATACCCTTAAGGCTTTTTTCTTTCAATTTGTGATACATCTACAATTTATTTTGGTACAGATAGTGCAGAGCTCCAGCTAAATGTTTCTCAAATGGTCATCCAAATGTCACCAAAGTATTTCCTAATGTTTAATTTTATCACTGTTTTTGAATCTTCTTTATAATTTCCCATTTTTAATTTTTATTTTTTCTATGCCATACTATTTTAAAACATATAAAATTAAATAATTACAATCTAGTATGGAAAATACCCCCTTTCTTGCTACTATTCAGAAAATTTCTGGCTACTCTACTACAATTATTATTCTAAGACCTGAATATCAAATCCCAAGAAAGGAAATCCACTCAAAATTTTGTCTGGACTTGCATTAAATTTAAAGATCAATATAGGGAGAAATGATACCTTTACAATGTGAGAATTCAAACTCTACATATTAAAATCTTTAAAAAAGTTTTTCCTTCCTACCCTGGCTTGTGTAGCTTAGAAGATTGAGTGTGGGCCTGCGAACCAAAGGGTCTCCGGTTCGATTCCCAGCCAGAGCACATGCCTGGTGTTGCAGGCCAAGTTCCCAGTTGGGTGTGCACGAGAGACTACACATTGATGTTTTTCTCCCTGTCTTTCTTCCTCCCATTCCCCTCTCTAACAATAAATAAAATCTTTTTAAAAATTTCTTCCTGTGTAGGTCCTGTACGTTTCTTAAATTTATTTTTGAGTATCTTGTATTTTCTGTTGCTACTGTAAACCATATTTCTATTGTTCATTTAATAGAAAGCTTTCTATGTTTATATTTGTAACTGGTGATGTTATTAAACCTTTGTTATTTCTAATTTTTCAATTAACTCAATTTTCTAATTTTATCTCCACATACTGATTTTATCCTTCTTTTTAGATCACATTCTATCAACTGCGTTTAGTAGATTCAGAACAATGTTAAACAGGCACAATAATTTTCCTAATGTTTTACTATTAAGTATCTCTTGTGATGTTTTGATATGTTTTTATCATGTTAAGAAAACATCCTAACTGCCCTTACTGGTGTGGCTCAGTGGACTGAGTGCCAACATGCAAAGCAGAGGGTCTCTGGTTCCAGTCCCAGAGCACATGCCTGGGTTGCAGGCTAGGTCCCCAGTAGAGGGTACTCAAGAGGCAACCACCCACTCATGTTTCTCTCCCCCTTTTTCTCCCTCCCTTTCTCTCTAAAAATAAATATATATTTTTAAAAAGACATAATATCCTATTTGTTCTAGTATGAGCATTAATCAAGAATAGGTGTTGAACTTTTATTAGGTATCTTTTTGATGCCTTCATTGTTTAACAGATTTCCTAATATTAACTGTATTCTATAACAAAAATGCTGTCATTTAAAAAATTTTTAAGGTAATGTTGGACTCCATTTGTTAATACTCTATGATGCTTGCATCAATACTCAAAAGTGAGACTTTTTAGTGCTATTTTTTGCCAGATTTTACCATTGTTATTGCAGCTTCATAAAGAAAACTAAAAAGCTTTCTTTCTTTGAGTGTGAACAGAAATAATTTCAGTAACAGATTCTCTTGAAAATTGAGAAAAAAATTAGCCATAAAATAGTTTGGGCCTGGAACATTTTTTAAGGAGTTCTTTGGTAACTTTTAAAATTTGTTTTAGCTTTCAAATTTACTACCATGGAAATACATTTATACATTTGGGAGATAACCCAAATGTGTATCTGAGTTTATTTACTTATCTTATTCCTAATTTTGTAGTATTGCATTATCCTTTTACCTTGATTCAACTAGCACCAGTTCAGTCTGTTTTCATTTTACCTTCCAAAGAATCAATGCTTATAATTTCCAACAATTTATTTTTTCCTTCTAATAAGTATCAGTGTTGTTTTTTTTTCTTTTTTAAAAAAATTTTATTTACTGTTAGAGAGAGGGGAAAGGAGGAAGAAAGGAAGAAACATCAATGTGTAGTTGCCTCTTGAGTGCCCTCTACTGAAGGCCTGGCCCACAACGCAGACTGGGAATCGAACCAGCAACCCTTTGGTTCACAGGCCAGCATTCAATCCACTGAGTCACATCAGCTTGGGCAGTATGAGTGGTACTTTCATTCTTTTGTTTCCTGCAGTGCATTTCCTTTTTAGTATTCTTACGGAGAATATTTTATTTGTATTCTCTCTCAATTATTTAGGATATTGATTTTTCTTGTAAATTTGGCTTTAGCTACAATATATGGATATATATTGATCTCATTATTTCCTCACTATTACATAATTTTCAATTTCCCCTTTGATACAATAAAGCATCCAGAGCTGGTTTTACACTTTTAATTCAAAAAATTTATTTCTTTTTAGAAAGGGGAAACGAAGGAGAAAGGGAGAGAAACATCAATGTGTGGTTGCCCCCCGAATGCTCCCTACTGGGGACCTGCACTGCAACTGAGGCATGTGCTCTGACTGGAATCCAACCAGCGACCCTTTGGCTCACAGGCTGGTACTCAGTCCACTGAGCCACACCAGGGCTATCCTTTTAATTTTTATTACCTGTTCATTAATTCATTCAGCCTACCAGTCAGTATTTAGTGACCTTCTAGTATGACTGCATCATGATCAAAGAATGTGTTCTAATACAATTTTCTGAAAAAATGCTGTAATTTGCTGTTCCAGGATTATCATTATTTTCATCTCTAGTCATTTTATCTTTAAAAAATAAACTTCACAAATATTTAAGTTTTTCCTCACAATACATAGTATAAACTCAGAAGATATAAATACATTTCATGAAATTTAAGATGACATTGCTTTTAAGATTCACCATTATTTCATGTACTAAGAAGAAAAAATGCTATCCTGAAATGTTAAAATGTGCACTTTAAAGCCATGAAATACAGCATATTTCATGTCAACTTTCCTTTTCACCAAAATCACCTAAAACAATGGTTTTCGTAATTATTTTGTGTGTCTTTTCAGAACTGTCTTCTCTTTCATAATTGTTACCTTTTGCAGATCAGGGACTCCATGATTCTCAAGGAATCAGAGGAAAGCCAAGTGTGCCCCTTCTACCAGGACCATTTCAACTGGGAGGCAAGGGTAGTTTCAAAAAACACATTTGATGTTATTATAATAATTTTATATTTGAAAAGTGAAAAAACAATTGTTTTTATAAAAGAGATCTTGCCCCTGTTTTGATAACCATTCTCACTATGGCATAATGCTTATCAAAAGAGGGGCATAATCTTTAAGTTGAAAAAGTCTATAAATTCTGACAAACATTTAGCTAGCTGTCAATTCTCTCACCTTCCTTCAAACTTATCAGAATACCCAAATTTTCTCTATTTTAATTTTGCCCAAGCAAATATTTCAATGAGTCAAACAGTGTAAAATAAAAATATCAGAAGTAAAACTTCTATAGCATTTCATCTCCACAGAATTACTCCACAGCAAGAAAAGAATCTGCATTTCTGAAAATAGGTTTCGAAAACCACCGTTTCTTTTTTCCTGCAAAGGGCCAAAAAAAAGAATGAACAATGGAATCCACCTTTTTCACAGAATCAAAATTTAAATCACAGTTACTAACGCTCTCGGCATTAAAAATTACTTACACTAAAATATAACCTTTGTCAGGCTGTGTTTATCTTTCAACTGCGCAGTCTAGTCAAACCACCTTCCTGACTGCTTAAACAAATGTATTCAGGGGAAAATGTTTTTAATATTACTCAGGCTCTTCCATGGTCACTGACAGAAACAAAAACTTAATCATGAAAAAGGTTAAAGAAATAAGCAACGTTATTGAAAAAATACACTCTTAAAACTTAAGGCACAGGCTAATGAAATGGATAAATTTTGAGACCACCTGCCCTAATCTTACCAACATAAAACCCCACGCAGACGTGAAGTAGTGGCAGGAAGCAGTTAGTGAAACATGACTGACTCCCCCCTCTCCTCGGAATATAAACCCACTCAAGACAGGAGGTGAGAAACAAAACACTACGATACCGACCCACTGACGAGATCCTAAACAAAAAGTGAACCACAACAGTCCTGAATAGCCAGCTTCACAGTCCTGAACCTTGTCACACTTCCCACACCTTTGCCCTTCCCATCTCATCCCACCCCAACCTCCTTCCAGGCCTAGCTAATCCAAGAATTTTAAACTCTGGAACCTTCCGACCTCGCAGACTGACTCCTCTTCCCCCAAGCTTCCCGCTCACTTATCATTCCCTCCCCCCGAGCCCGAAACCGGCCAAAGGGCGGGGAGAGGGGAGTTGCCAGAGAAAGACGCATCCCGCTTCCGGCCACAGCCGCAACGCGGGAGACTCCACGGTGTTCCGGACAGGGGCTGGGATCCAGGGACAGGGGCTAGGATCCAGGCCAAGGGGAGTCGCAGGCCCCGTTCTCATCGCCCCCCCTAGAGTCAGGCCCTGAGAGAAGACAGAAGGTAACTTACTAATGGGAGCTCTGCCAAAAGTTCCCTGCCATGGAACACAGCTTGCCCTGATACAAAAGCACCAGCCGGCGGAGCGGCTCTCGGAGCGACCATAGACCCAGCCCGCCTGGTAACCGCGCTCCTCTATCTGATCTACCCGGCTCCGCTCCGCGGCGGCGACGGTAAGAGGAAGAGGATGGCACCCTATTCTTTTTGACGCCGGCCGGCAACACTCTACTGTGTAAACCAGTTCCTATGGATAAAAGTTCCGACCCGCCCCGCTTTAGCGGAGGAAGCCGGCTGGGAGGAGACAGGCTGTGGACGCACAGAAATAGTTAATGGGAACTGGTGCTCGCGGGGGTCTAGGGCCTCTCGCGAGAGCTTCTTGCCAGTTCGGGCGTAAAGCCTGCACTGCTTGGTCTTGTGGCTTCCGTAATCATTCTCCGAGTAGAGTTGCCACTCCGGGTTTTGTTATTCCATTCTACAGTTTACAGGCCTCCGAAGCAGCGCGGTGGGATTGTATTAAAGGTTTTCTGCCTTTGGTTCTTTCTCCTGCAAATTGGGAAGAGAAATAGAGATTTTGGCCTCAAGGACCTACCTACCAGTACCTACTGGCACCAAGCGGTACGCTTTCTAAATAGAGTTCTTTTGCAGTGAAGCGGAAACATTTAGAGCGATACTGTTTTAATGCCAGCAAATCACTAGTTTCACATATATGTACTAAATAGAAACATATGGCCAAAAATGCAATACTTTAATTTTACAAGATGAAGTAATCTGTAGTTTTCATTTCTATTATTGATACTGTAGTTATTGTAAAACTTCTCATTAGTTTTCCAGAAATGGGACACAATTGGAAGTTCTTCACCAGTGTTCTCAGGTAGTTTGACGAAGTATTTTTCACAATGTGGGTGGAGACCAGTTAGGGTGTGGTTGAAACTGAGTATAATAGGCATTCCCCCCCCCCAAAGAAAAAGAAAGCATTTTCCTAAGTGAAATTTTTTTAAAGATTTTATTTATTTATTTTCAGAGAGGGAATGGAGGGGGAGAGAGAGAGAGAATCATCAATGTGCGGTTGCTGGGGGTCATGGCTTGCAACCCAGGCACGTACCCTGACTGGGAATCGAACCTGCGACACTTTGGTTTGCAGCCCACGCTCAATCCACTGAACTACACCAGCCAGGGCTAAGTGAAATTTTTTAAAAAATTAGGTATATTAAAAATAATAAGGATGTTACTTAAAATATCTGATTCAGTTATACATGGATGTATGTATTATGTCCAGATTTGAAATGCCATATGATTTCACTTATATGTGGAATCTAAAGACCAAAATAAACAAACCAACAATAGAACAGTCCTAGATACAGAGAACAGTTGGATGGTTGCCAGTGAAGGGGGTTGGGTGAAAAAGGTGAAGGGATTAAGATAGTACGACATAGGAATTACGGTCAATAATATTGTAATAACTGTGTGGTGCTAGGTGGGTACAGAGGGGAATGCTTTGTAAATTATATAATTGTCTAATCATTGTGCAGTATACCTGAAACTAATACAAAATAATATTGAATTAAACTGTAATTGAAAGCTAAAACTTAAATTTCAAAAAGGATGTGAAATGCATCGTAGTAGCCTTACATAAAGTATTTTATATCACATGTTACTCCCATAAAGTCCCATAAAGTTGCTTTCCTTGATCGTTGTTCTCTAGGTCTTTGAGAATCTAGTATGTTTTCATCTTTCAACTACTCCATCTTGGTTCTTTGCCTCCAGGCTTCAAATCTTTCCAGGTACAGTGCTCAGGACTTTCACAGGCTCTTAATCAGTGGTGAGAGACTTGAACCAGAAACAACACTGTCACTTCCTCTCTTCCCATTGACCAAAATAAACACACGCTTCTAATTTAACTGCAAAGGGGCTGAGAAATGTTCGGGAGTCTGTAGTATATTTGATGAACTATTGTCTGCTACACTGCAAATTATAGTCAAAAAAGTTTGAAAGGCAGTAGCTTAAGAAATTCCAGGCCCAAGGCTATTTCACATTGGTTGGGAATTTCTTCAACTCTCAGAGGTTGCCAGTTTGACAATATCCTGAAGATAAAGATACTGTGATAAACTGGTATTGATAAATGTTTTGTTCTGTGTGCCCCCACTACACTCTACCACTAGGCCAGCATTGTTTCATACTTAATTCTGCATTCTTCTTTCCACAAAACTGAACTCCTTGAACTTTTTTTTACTAGTAGTTCAGGGCCTTAACACATAGGCATAGCAGGAACTGGTATTTGTGGGGCAAAGTGCTTAAAGAAGAGCAATATGATGTTGTGAATGAAAAATTAGGCTGAAAGGTATTTAGAATGCAAAAAGAAATCAGAAATTACTAGAGTCTTGGAGATTTAGGTCCCTTCTGTGAACTCTTCTAAGCAATTTACCAGAAATACTACATAGAAATGCTTTTCGTGTCGAACCCGGTTTCTGCTTCTCATCCAGAACTCCAAATGCCCAGGGGCTCCCCATGCTCCCAGTGACCAAGAAAGAGGGGCCTGAAGCTTAGGCTTCATTAATTCCAGAGTAAATTATCTCTGAGGGTGCTCTGTAAAGGTAGGTTAAATTGAATGATGTGAGCTGAAAGCTAACTTCATTTGAAGACATCTGATGGAACAGAGTAATTTACAAAAGCTGTTAAGATGGAAAGCTAGGCTAGCCAGGAAAGCTAGGTAGCCCAGCTTACCTGGATGCAAAAGATGATGGACCATGTAGATTGCTGCTAGGGGTTTTTTTTTTTTTTTAAGCTTTCTTTAAATAGTTCTAAGAATATTGTTCCCTGGCTGGTGTAGCTCAGTGGATTGAGCTCAGGCCTGTGGGCCAAAGGGTCGCTGGTTTGATTCCCAGTCAGGGCACATGCCTGGGTTGCAGGCCAGGTCTGCCGTAGGGGATGCATGAGAGGCAACCACACATTGATGTTTCTTTCCCTCTCTTTCTCTCTCCCTTCCCTTCTCTCTAAAAAAATAAATAAATAAAATCTTAAGGAAAACAACAACTGTTCAAAAATAAGTAAGTAGTTCTAGGAATATTGTTTCTCAGTCTTCACTACCTATTTAATTTAAACTTAATGGAATCAGTCTTGTCCCTTCTAATCTTCCGTTTACCTTGTGCTTTTCAAATAGGGATGTGATCAATAAATTCTTGTTACTAATGTTGGTTCTCTTGCGGCAAAAAAAGCATTTATCCCTATTCCTACAAGGCTTTCCGCAGCAACATGAATACCATTTCTCAGAAACTAAAGGCTGGAAATTTAGTGGCTTTATCAAGCCCACTTAGCTAGTTAGTGGCAAGAACAGCTAGAATCCAATTCCTCTGATTCCCAATGCAATAAGATTTTCACCCAACTATACAGCTTCAATAAAACTAACTACTGTAAACTCATTATTCCAGGTTTGTGGTAAAAGTTTCTCCTCCCAAACACTATTATTGAAGATCATATCCTCACTTTTAATTAAATTGTCATGTGACTTCGCTTTGGTACTAGCAATCATTATTGTGAAAATATCCTCTCCTCTTTCTAGCCATTTATTGTGCCTCCTTTATTTCATTTCCTAGATACTTAAGTTTATTGAAGATGACTAAACCTCTAAACCTTCCGGTAAAGCACTATTTAGCCACTTTAAACCTCAGTTTCTTCAACTGTAAAACAGGGATAATCATAGTTCCTAAGTCACAGGGTTCTGGTGAGGTTTAAATAAACCTCAAATGAAGTTAGAATAGTACCTGATACATGGCAGGAGTTCAATAACTCCTTTATTTTAGCTTCCATTATTTAAGAGTGGAAGTCATTATTTTCACAAGTTTAGATTCTACAACCTGGACAAGAGTTCTGTCTTCACAGATAAGGAAAATAGTGCCACCTTGATACAAAGAAAGATGCACTCCACCACTTAGCACTAGCTCTTGATACTTCAATGCATTTGTACTCCACAGGGAACAATAATCAAATATATTGATTTACAGTGTGCTACTATACTCATGCCATTGGGTATTGTTTTTCCCTGTACACTTCTAGATCTGGAATCTCCAGTTTGGGGGATTCTGGAATTCACTTTCTGATTTCAGTTAGTCTGGAGTGACCTTTGAGAGAATACAATGTATCAATAAGAAACTTCAGAGCTAAAGCCCAGTATTATTGTCTAAAGATTCCAAAGACCAAGAAATGTCCCATTCCCAAAAAGATTCCCTATAACAACAACAACAACAACAAAGGTAAAAAAATTAGGAAAAACTTTAAGTCCAGTCAAGGTGATCCAGCTGGGAAGACTGTCTGGATTGCAACTAAAAATTTACACCAAGTTATTGTATTATTTTGCAATAAAGAGAAGGTATTTAAGGAAGGGAAATGTATGGAGTACATAAAAGGAAGTCAGAAAGGTCAAATTTGGCAAGGTGTCTATATGAGGCTTCTATTGCTGCTGTAACAAATTACCATAAACTTAGTGTCTTAACACAATTTATTATGCAGTCCTGGAGGTCAGAAGTCCTAAACAGGTAGGTCTTACTGGGCTAAAAATTAAGGTGGTCCTTCCTAAAGGATCTAAAGGAGAATCTGTGTTTCTTGCCTTTTCCAACTTGTAGAGGCTGCCTACACACCTT